TTCAATGGGTTTTGACGTCACCAGATATGGAGGAGGCTGTGAGGGGGTTTCTTTGCTGCGACCGAGGGCGATTCTGCTTTTACATCTGAGGAGTTATAGTTCTCTTGCACTCACTTTACTTGTGTGTTTCTGGGGACACCGACTCCGAGTTTGTCAGTCGATCTTGGCTTCATCATCATTATAGGCTTTTGTTTCGCTCGAATGTCTTTGTTTTATTTGACTGAGACGTTCTCGATTGTATGAATGAAGGAAAAGGGGTTTATTTAATTTTTTTGTTCAAAATGGAATCGGTTCAGAAATTTGTAATTTGGTACTACGCACAGGTTGTATGACGAATCGGGGTTTCTGCTTTTGTGGGTTTGTGCATGTTTCTGTTGAATTGTTTTTTGTTTGTTTTTTGTTTTTGGCTTGTTGCTCATCTTTGCAGTCTATACTTATACTTTGGCGTGCATTTGTTGGGCTTCCTTCCAGCGTTCTATCTTTTATTATTCTTCGAAAGAAGCCGATTTCTTTGCTTCGATGTTTTTTTTTTGAAGATTATTTTGATTATATATTTTTCAGTGTATAGCCTTCATTAATGAGTTTTCTTTTATTGAAGACATGTATAATTTTTTCTGAAATTGTTGACTATTTTCCCGGCGACTTCGTTCAAGCATTTTGCTTAACCGGGGTGAAATTGAATGCAAGAGAGTTTTATTTCAAATCTGAAAGGAAATGTGGTGTGCCTTTAGGTGCTAAACGATTTTGTTGGTTTTTGTGAGTTAAATACTTTATTTGGAATTATCTGAAAAAATGTTGAAGCTGCATTTCAATGAAAGGCTGCTCTTCGCAATATGCTGGGTTTTCAAATTTCGATTGGACATTAAATTGCTCAGCAAAAAATGTTTCAAGTTTCATGGGCATACTTCATGAGCTAAGAGATGATTGCTTTGATATTCTATTTTCGATCCTACATTGATTTTGAGAATTCTGGCGTGGAAACTTGGAAATGAGAAAAAATTCCATTTGAAGGAACTTTATTCTCTGAATTCTTTCAGCTATGTTGCAGTAATTCAAGTCTGCTCAAAACTTTCCAAAATATTTTTCGCACGTATCGAATTCTTCCTAGAGTTTTTGGATAATTTTTCCACCAGAAGCAAATTCTATGGCGTTCCCGGATTTTTACAATTTTTCTATTCATTAACTTCGGCTTGTTCATCAAGTGATCGAAAGACAAAATATTATTTGCTTATCTTGTAATTGAGATTTCATCCAATCTTTTCAATTAAACTTGAACCGCGCAATTTTTTTTTTCACATTTTCAACCAGGGTCAGTTGTTTTCATTGAAACGAAAAGAACTTTTCTGATGCAGGATGTTGAGATGAGTACAGGAAATGTACTTTTTTCTGCAAATGGGGAAAAAACCCAGAAAACCGGAAGTTTTAAAGGAGGTTTTATTTTCCAGAAAATTGACTTTTTCTGAAAGTTGCTTTTGAATTTTTCGAATTCTCTGCTCTGTGAGTTTTGGGAAAGTCGCATCGCTTTAATTTCGTATGCGTTTAAATTATTATATAATCCATAGGAGTAAAATTAGCATTATTCCTCAAACAGAATGGACGATGAAATTTAACTTATTCAGCTTAATTTTTTTGAAGGTGAACGAACTACGAGTTATCAGTTGATTTATTCATCAGTTGAAAATTAAGCATATTGCGGAAATACTTTACTACAGTACTTTAAAATCATCCTTTAAAATCAACGTCAAACCTGACTAAAGTACTTTAAAATCCATTATCTCCTTTTTGCTGCATCTATTGGCTGAAACCACTTTTTTTTTAACCGGAAGTGGTATTCGTGGTTTCCAGATACCAACTGTGAAAAGCTAAAGCACGATTCCACCGGATGTAAAACATAATGCATCGATTTGTTTTCTTTTTCGAATTATAAACGTACATATTCGAAGAAACATATTCTGGGTTTTATTTTGCATGTATGCATGAAACCACTTCAAAAGGCTCTCCACACCGGAAGTCATGTTTCAGGTTTTCTAAAGTAGCTAGAAAATAAAGTGCCAAATGAACTTCCGCAGCGCGATTGCTTTCAACCATCGAATGCAATGCAAAATGCATTAGCTTTTTTGCAATCTTGAGTGCATCCTGCGGAAAATGTTCATTTCTTCTTTTGTGTCGTTGATTTTATCACTTTGACGTGTTATTTTCCACCGGAAGTGATTTTCATGATTTTCATAGTTTCTAGAAACTACCTGCAACAACTACCGGTCGGATGAGTGCCCAACAATAAATTGCTCTTTGTCACTGGATGCAATCCGCAGTGTTTTTTGCGATTTGTTTTTCCTCGGGGTTATGCTGAGAAAAATTATACCTCTTCTGTTTTTGCACTTAGATGGAAGCATCTAGATTTTTTTTTCATATCTGGAAGTGATCTTGAGAGTTCTGCAAAGCACTGGAAGATTAAATTACTGTACCTCTTGAATTTGCAGAAAGCTTAGCTTTTAGTTCCTGAGTGCAATTTTTCTAGCTACATGAGTAACATTTGAAAACATGTTTATCTTTCATGAATTGCATGATTGTATTGACTCACTTCAATAATTTTCTTTGTATCCGAAATAAATTACACTATCTTCAAATGAACTTCTCGGAAGCTTATTTCAATGCCTGATTTCATTTGAAACTACAGTATTTTATAGCAATTTTTGAAAATTCGAGATATTTCGGGGAGTATATCTACATTGAAGATCCCATTGCAGCTTTTTAAAAACAGATTAAATACATTTGTGAGATGTTACTAATTTGCACCATTCTGTTTCTTCTTCGCAGAAGTATTTAAAAATTTTTTATTCATTTTGTATGCTCGAAATTCTCAAGATTTTCTCATCTGATGCTTCCTTGATCCCATTGTCAGTTTTTCAACGCATTGCATTAATTTTTAAATTTTCGGAAGCATGTTTTTGTTGCAATTGGAAATTAGCTGGCATTAACTTCAACATTTTTTTTTTCAAAACGCAAGGAAGAAATTACAGCTCACTGAAATTACAGCTACGGAGAAAAAGAATAAATGAAAAAATGTTCGAGTAGAAAAGAGCTTGAAGAGGTTTTTCGAAAGAAAAAAAAACCGGGATGCTTTTTTTTTTTTTCTTCAACCAATGCCATTTGGGAATACGTGTACATGTAGTGCATTCTACAGCTCGTAGTGCTTCTCTTATGAGTTCTCGAGGAAGAAAATGCCCTGTCTCATCAATAGTAACGATTGTGAAGAGGAAAAAGATTACCAAGAATAGTGTTCTCGAAGTCAGAAGGCAGATGGTGCGCATTTTTCATCGAGGGATCCCCGAGGATCATCTTCGGGAACGAAGTTACTGTGGGGAAAGGAGCACGGATCCCCCGACTGGGAGCAGGTATCATCACCCATGAGTGTATATAGTGTGTCTCGTCTTGGCCCAGGTTGCCTCTGGATTCATTGGGATCCCGAAAGATCCTCGAATCATTTTTTTCGTTAGACATTATTATGTTCTCATCCTCTCATTTCCGGATGAGCCAGATTTAAAGATAATTGATACGAATTTTGGACATGAGAGCGTGTGATTAAAACTTATCTATATAGAAGTTTTTTTGCATTTAGAATTTGCTTGTCAAATCCTGCGTATCAAAAACTCGAGGTCATGGGTTTTTTCTTGAAACAGTTTCAATAAATCCAAAGTTGAGAAAAATGGACATTAATTTGCGCAAAATCCCTGAGAAAATACAGCTTTGCTTCCAATTTTAAATTATTTTTTCTGTTTTCATGCGCTCAATGCACCACAACTTATTTCAAGTACTGTGATTCAAAAATTTGTTTCACAACGTCCCAAATTTTGACAGATACAATCTGAAAAGTATGGAATTGGTAATCTTTGAATGATGACGTGAAATGAATACCGTTCCCTTTGGTATTTTATTTCACGAATCTGTGAAGTTGTTGCATTTCTCTTTGAATTAAAAATCCGTTGAAAAAATGGGGGTCCTATTTTCATCATGTCATTAAATCCTAACAAACTCCGGAAATTTCAAAATTTATTAAGTTAAAGATATATACTTCCAGGGACTGCGTACTTGGAAAATAATTTCTGCAATTTAAAATTATTCTCTAGACTTCTCATGTTATTCTTGCGTGATTATCATAAGAACTCTTTGAAGTCACATTTTTACTTTTCCTAAAATCATGATTTTCAAAGGAGCTTCAGGAGATCTTTTAAGCAGCCCCTTTTGAGATGCCTAGAACATTTATTTTCTATTTTTAAGTTAAAATATTCTCATACTTTTTGCAAATGCCACGAACCATTTTCCTCTTACTCATGATGTAATGCTCTTATTTTATTTTACAAAAAGTGGCACAGAAGCGTCTTTTTTTTTTGGAAATAAATATTTTCTTCTGAAATGCACTCTGGCTGCACTTCAGAAAAGCTTATGCCATGTTTTTGCGACCTTTTCTCCAGGAAGTTTCCAAAAATGTGAAGACAAGACCCCATTTGAGGTCAAGCTTGTTGCGAGGGTGTTAAGTTCAGGTCAATTCGCATGCTTCGGATTGAATGAGGTTTGGATGCAACGAATAATTTAAAAGAGGTTTGACACCTTTTTTCGGGACAGAAAATAATAATGCCGAAGATGGGTTGAACGGATATCTGCCAATGCTTTGCAAATTTGATTCAAGCATCGACTCTTTTTTAAATTATTGGGACGAATTTCGCCTTTGCCAGCATGGACATTGAAAAAAAAGTATTCAAATATGGGTGAGGTCATTTTGTTCGCCTATTTCAATTTTATCTGCCTTGATATTGAGAAATGTCTAGTTCAGAGTAAAGCGAAATTCATGAATAATTTTACAACTCTCGCGCATTGAAATTTTTACTGCGGTCAATAAACTTCGGATAAATTTCACGGATTAGGTCTTGAGAAGTTTTTACTCTAACGTCTAACCGGTTTTCAGAATTTTTTTTCAGTTTATGAATTATTTCGATTCGTGAATGATCCTGTTTGAATGCAGTGAGTTAAATAAATTCTTCGAATAAAAGATGAACGATGTGACTTCGTTCTTTCGATAAATTGATTTCACGTGAAATTCACGTAATACGAGAGAATTTTTTTTCTCTTTCTTCTCGCCGAAAAATTTTCTTTCGGGCGAATGGGATGCAAACAACATATATAGAAACGGAAATGTACATTTTGCCTCAGGTCTGAGAAAATTGTCTAGAAAAGGTCACGCCCTCTGTAGAATATCGTTTCGGCTGCTTTTTGTTCATCTCTAATGCTTCTGTTCCTTTTTCTATTTTCCCTTAAGGTCAAAGGTAATTTCACGACGAATGTTTTTTTTGTTGCTTAATTCTTCTCGATTAATGTATCCTTGCTTTTTTCTCTCGTGGACTGAACGTGTCTTGGGTCACAAATTTTCCTACTGTATTCGCAATTTTTGTGGGTTACGATTTGAATTTTCCTTGGGAACTCTGACAGTTTAGAGATGACTTGATGTGTGAGAACTTTGTTTTCTGACAAAAGTAAAGAAGAAGAAAAGCTTATGCAGTAATAGCTTTTTTCTAGAGAATAATAAACGTCAATTCACATTGAAATTATAATCTTTCTGGATTCGAGTCTCCAGATCCTGATTTGAGCTGGAATCCGAAAAAAATGATCTTTAAAAGGCTTGCTTAATTTTGATTTCATCGCTGGTTTCATTTTTGTTTTTTTTTTTTTCGTAGAGACATCATTGGGAAGTTTGATGACCGAAAATTGATTTTATTGAAGGCATCCCTTGGGCTTCTTTTCGGATGAGTCTTCTTCGAGGATAAGAAGCTTAAGTTCTATATGAGAAGTAATTTCAAGTATTCATTCCTTACAGTCACGACGAAGAAGAAAGCAAAGATTGAAGTAGATTCTATCGACGGATTTCAAACATAGAATTCCATTTTCCGAGACATAAGTTGGAAATAGAATCTGAGGGCTTACTCAATATCCTATGAATGTTTTTTTTTCAATTTTTAGAAGCCGGAAATTCTTACGAAAAATACAGTACTGTAAATACAATGAAGTACACCATCGTTTATATCTCAAGATATGATATACACTTATACAGCATTTGAATGAAAGTCACGTTAATCATTTTCTCCTCGACTGAGGAAATTTAGTCAATTTCAAATGAAACTAGAACTTTTTTGGGGAGTTCAAACGTAATCTTCACATTTATTTTATTTAATCACGGAGGTTGACTTTCACAAAAAAAAATTCGAGTGCCTTTACCAAACCTTTTTCAGCTAGATCACGTTGATTAAGTTGAAGCGAGACCTGGACAAAGTCAAAAGAAATTCATCAATCATGGACTTCAGTCATGCAATTGGCTCGAGCTAGATGTCTCTTCCTAACATCGCATTTTGTTTTATTTTCATAATTGGTTTTTTCACAATTTATTGAATCAGTCACTGTCTGTGTTTATTCTGGTTTTAGAAGTGACTCGTGTAAAGTATTGTACTGCAGTTTAATTATTGTTTTTTTTGCATGAAGCACAGCAGGTAGAGTAACTTGGGTCGGATAGATTTTATCTCCAGCATGATACAGTACAATGTACTGTACCAGTAAAACTCATGGGGAACTTCTGTGGGAAGAAGATGAGTCTCTCTAACAGATGAGAGTGTCCATGAATATTCCGATGGGTTCCCCGGGAGAAAATTCATCACCCAATGTTGGGGGAGATATGATGCATTGACGGGTTCGTCTCCGGGTTCGGATCATTCATGCGGGTCTCGCCAAGAATCCCAGAGGCACTTTACATGCCAACTGGCACGACCACTGTTTCTTGAATGGAGAGGGGGTATCATCACAGACCAGCGGAACAATGAAAGGATATGGGGGTTCCATTTTTGGGTTCTTTTCGACGTGATCGTGTTGAGCATTTTTTTCTTTTTTCATGAGAATCGGATGAGGGAATGTTTCAAAAGTTGGTTTTAGTTTTTTTGTGGAAGCTTCGGGATTTTTCTGGGGGCAAATAATAAGTTTTGGCGCATTTTTTTAGCAGCCTAAATCGAAATTTTCGTCTACAAATTCAATCGAGATTCTTGGGCAAGCGGGAAAATGCCTAATTTTCATGGTACAGTATTTCCATTCTCGTGAATTTGTTTATGAGAATAGGATCAAATATTTAAAAAATGTCATTTATTTTCCGAATACCCGGGATTCTGTTTCCAACATAAAAATCCCAGGAAAAAGAGGGATGTTATTTGGAAGACGGGTGTGGGTTGGTGTTTAATTCGATGAATAATTTGATTATGATTCGTGTTCACTCGATTAATTTACATTTCCTCTTTCTTGTCGTTTCCCAGAATGTCCTCCAGCAGAGGATGGGTTTGACAGGTTTGCGTGTCCATCACCGGACCGTTTGAGTCGATACAAGTGCATAGACGCTCACGCGTTGTGCGACGGCTTCATAGACTGTCCTCATGCGGAAGACGAGGATCGGATGGCGTGTATGTTTTATAAAACTGTGAGTATATATATATATATTTGTTTCTCATTTAGTCCCATTTCCATTTTAGACGGACCCATATCCCTGTGCATTTGTCAGAAGAGCATTTATTCTATAAAAACTCCATGTTCTCGTAAATACAGAAGTATCCCTTCAAACATTATTTTTTTTCAATCGACCATTTATAAATTCTAGAGTAAGGTCAGATGGATTTTAATGTCCGCAGTGGGAGGAACGACCAGTAGGATCCTACAGGGGTCTGGGGGGGAATAAGAAGGACGTGGTGTAATGTGTGTCTGTGGCCTTTTGCACCTTGAATTAATTTGCCTACTTGAAAACGCATCAATTAACATTAAGTTGTCAGGATCTCCGAGCGGTCTAAGGCGCTGCATTCAGGTCACAGTCTGGTTCTGCAGGCGTGGGTTCGAATCCCACTTCTGCAATTGTTTTTTCATTTTTTTTCATTTTTTTGTCCGCACTGCGGACGCTCTACTACTTGATTAGAATATCGTAATTCCTGCAATCTCAAATTTTCTGTGAAAGAAATATTTGCATTGAATTTTTGAAGGTTTTTCAATTATGCTCAAGTTGGGTTTTCTCATGCTGTCCCACTTGGTATATATATTTTTATATGGCCCTTCCACACATGATCAAAACTAAAATTCCTTATACTGCGATTATGCAGGGAGATTAGTTTGTTGTAACAAATGTGTATACCATTGTCCATATGGAGAAACTGCGAAGACCGAGAAGAAAATTCGTTGTAACAAATAAATTCGCTATGTCGAGATTCATTGTAAAGGAATTTTACTGTTTATTTGTGAGGGACATTTGTGAGATGGGGTTCATTGACAATTTTTATTTTTACACTTCAGTATGCTTGTATTGAGTCACAGCATATTTAGGGATCCTTTGGGGATCCCTGGAGCACCTTTGAAGTACAACGGAGAGCCTCTGAAAATGATTTTCCCTAAAGTTTCATGACTTGACAGAATTGTTTTTTCTTCGTTTTTTTTTTTTTTGCAGACGAAGGCGCATCTCGACGTTTTGGCGGACGCGTTGCTGCGATGGGCTCGAGGCCGCTAGAAATCTTGCTGAAACCTGAGTATCAAAACCCAAGGATTGTATCGTAGACGAAGAAGGCAAAATTGACGGAAGAAAAAAAACAAATTTTCGAAGTCTGGAACTTTGAAAGAAATGGAAGACAAGGAACAGCCGGCGAAAGTCCCTGGAGAAAGCGAAGAAAAAAAAACAATTGTTTAGCCGCCGACACAACGGAAAAGGAAAAAATAATTGAAAGGCAAAAAGTCGAACAAAATGTATCCCCCCCCCCCCCCGATGATTGAGCAATTTTTGAGTGCGGGCCACTCAAAAACAGTGTGTGTTTTCTGAGGAAAAGAAGAGGCGAAGGGCAATTTTTCCTGGCAACAAAAAAATCCTTTAAAATATATATCTATATATATATTAAAAAAGAAGAAAAAAAACTTTCTCAGCTTACAGCTTGGGTCTGTCTTGCTTGATTGTTTTCGTGTGTACGTTTGTTGTAAAACGAAAGCAATGATCTCAGTTCTGGTTTAGCACCCAATCTCGGACATCAGTATTGTATTTTCTCGGGAAAGTTTTTTGGGCATTATTTTATTGCTGAAAGAGACGGCACTTGTTATTTTATTACCCCGTTTTATCCCCCATGATGTGTGTATGTGTGTGTGTTTGTGGTGTTCTTTTTGCGCTTCCCCCTCTGTTTGAGTGTACATTTGGGATGATGCCTGAGGCAAAGGTGTTGAGATGTTTCTGTCTCAACCTGACTTAACAGTTTACCATATTGGAACACCACCAGGGTGCATCAAACTCCGGAATTTTACTCAAGAAAAAAAAAAGTCTCATACAGACTGCATACAAAACTTCCAGTCAAACGAGCCATTCCCATATTCGACATTCGTCCCAAAAGGTTGCATATGGGTTTTTAATTGAACATTAATTTGTGTTTTCTGGTGTAGAGCCCCGAATCAGTTATTTACTCGGAACATTTTCGGAAAATTGATGAACACTGATGGGAGCTTCAGCTTTGACCAATTCCTCAGAGTGTGGTTGGGAAAAATTGATCTGATGTAAGCCAAGTGTACATATTGCATAGCTATGTTTGGTGTACCTTGTGGGGTGTCCGGTATGACAGATGTTCATCTTGCCTCGTGGGTGGGTGTTACCGCAGTATTGCGGAACAGGAAGCTGTACCAGGAAATAGGCGTGCAGCTGAAAGCGGAAATGAGGTTGTTAACTTGAAGTTACCGAGTTTATTTCGCTCTTATACTTTCACCCAGTGGTTGATTCAAGTGGATCTGCATAATTTCCCGTTGACATATCATTCATGTGCGACTGCGATCCTTGCATTCCGAAGCGATCCTCGTATGTCAATTGGACACGATTCGAATTGAAAGTTCCAAGGGTGGGCAGGGAGATTGCGAGAAAAGGTCCATTTAGTAAGTGGCAACCTTTTCTGAAAGTGTGTGGATTGAAAGTGGAAGTGACTCCTTCGCTTGCATGCATCTATGTGTTTGTTCTTGAAACTTGAAGCATTTTCTTGTTGCATAATCCAGCTAAATATTTCATAAGTGTATATCATTCAAACTACTGGAAAGGTTTTCGAGAGGTCATGGGCATGAAGTCAGCTGCGTATCATTGTGAAATTTTGACAGGACATTCCATCACTTCGTTCGATACTCAGGATCTCTTGCTCCCAGTCGACCAATATGTTGATGTAGATCTTCATTCTTCAACCGAGTACTTGAATTATTCCTGACCCACTTGAATAATATGTATTATTCTTCAAGAGACCCCTCTTCCTATTTTTTTTTTTCGGGCGAGTAAGGAGCCTTTCGAGCTGAAAATCAAATGGCTGGAGACTTATTTACGAAAGAGTCCTTTGAAAGAAATGGGTTTGCTCTTTTTATTCCATTCTAAAAAGTAATCGCCAATGAAAATAGCAGTGCATGTCCTCCAGTGATAAATTTTGAGGGCCAAGTCCACTTTTTACGCATCAGGTATCACGTTAATTCACAATTCATTGCGTTTGAAGCTTTTCTTGCTTGTAAATAGGGTTTATTGTCTGACAAAAATTGTGCTTATAGGAAGTAGAAAGAAGGATCAAGCTTTGCGTTCTGAATGTGTGAGCGTAGAAGGGTGATTATTTAATCTTCCTGAGCGGTCTCGGATTACCAGTTGTGGCTGTTCAAGTTTTTGTGAACTTTGACGAATTTGATCTTGCGGAATGTGAGCTTGATGAGGGTTTGATTTGAAGTTTTGTTTGTTAAAAATAATGTGGATTGTGAGGGAATTTGGAATTGAGCGAGTGAGTCTACACAAAAGAGAAGGTGCTAAGGTAAATTCACAAAGACGAGGAAAGATCTTGACTCAAAACAAAGCCCAAATGCTTTCATGAATACGAACGAGTGCTGTCCTGACGCTCCTTGCCGGATTATCGGGCTTTCATCGGAACACTTTTTTGTCTTTCAAAGCAAAAGAATCTCTTGTTGTCTGAGCGCTTTCATAACTAGCGTGAGCTTTCGATTTCATTTCCTAGACGAAATTCTGTGTAGGAAATCACGTTAGGCGTGCATGTTACATTTTGTAGGGTTTGTGAAGACGGGGCTTTGCGGAGGTTCTTAGCATAATGGTACGCAAAAAATTAGCAGATCTTCCTTTTGTTTGAGTTTATTGCTCCCAGAGACTTTTCTATTTAGCACCAGCCCTGATTGCCAACTGAGCCCTGATGGCGTCGGGTTGGTGCTCATTTTCGTTTCTGCTTTCGGTAGATTTTGAACCTTTATTTGCAGTGCTCACTACTACTGACTGGTACTGATTTAGTCACCAAAACTGAACATGTTCAAGCATTTAATTCTGCAATACAGTGCCCCGCTTCTCATGGTTCGCTGTGCAAGTTGGATGGGTGATTTGAACGAGCATATGTGTACTATACGTGCGTACTTCCTCGCGCTCTCTGGTCCCAACGTTTGTTATTGATTTTTGTCCGTTGAAAACCAGCGTTTCTGCAATTGATGAGTGGAAAATCAAAACTAGTATTCTCAGCAAATATCCTAATTGTAGGTTAATTTCTTTGTGGTGTACCTTCGATTTCATTTAATGCATTTCCACATGCGTCTGGAAGAAGCTTGTGTGGTTCAGTTCGCCTACTCATCTTGTATAGATGATGAAAACCTGGTTCCCCATGATTCAAATAGTTCATGAAGGTTGTTGTACTGTACGAGAATTCCTTCTGGAAATTTTTTGCGTCAAGTGTTTCTGAGATACAGTACTTATATTGGGATTTGTTTTGTTTTTCCTGTCTGTGGATGATCGAACCTTACCATAGAACTGCGAACGATGTGTACGTGTTAATCTCGGGGCTTTGACCGTCTTCTTTGCGGTAATCCGGGGATTTTGGTGTTCAAGGGATTTGCGGATTAAACAGTTAATAATTCAGATGAGTGCTTTTAGCAAAGTATTTGTAATGCTTACTAAGTGTCTGCATGGAATTTAACGTTTATCCTAGTGTTAGTCACGTTTGTTGTATTTTTAAGTTGGACTTGAAAATGACACTCGCCTGATTCGTCTTCTCAAACGTTTTTCTTCAACCAAATCTTTATGCATTGGTGGATTTGCGAGGGATGAAGAATTGTTGAAATTAGTATGCTTGTAACACGGAATAATTTTGTCCGTTTTTTTTATCGAAACGTAAAACAAAGGAACCATTCCGGGTTATTGTTTCCTGAACCCTTATTTTTTCCGCCCATCTTAAGTAGCCCAATTTTTCCGCGCAGGAGAAAGATTTTTAAATTGCTGGAAGGTTTCGCTTGGGGATGACAATCAAGATTCTTCCTCGAGACTGGAAGATAGTAAAAAAAAAAAAGGAAATCTATTTCTCCGGTGATTTGCAAAGGAAAAATTTCAGCGCGGGGAATTTTTTGTTTCCAGTGTAACAAAGGATGTGCTTTTATGAGCGTGAACGTTGGTTTCGCATTCGGTGGAGAAGAAAAAAGTTACCCTTCCATTCAGTGCGTTTTGGCTATGGCTGCTCTTCTCGGTGACTGGGAGTCCCTTTTCCTGGAAGGAACAACTCCTTCCTTGTCCCTTAATGTGAGAAAATATCACTTTTTTCTTCTTCTTTCCATATTCATCCAGAGTTGAGAGAGGAAGAAGGAAAGAGAGAGAAGATTTTAATTTCTATCTCGTGAGCTGGAAATTCGAGATCTCATGGCTGGGACTCAGTTTTAACAAATGATGATTCTGGATCGGGATTTTCTGAGATTTGAATCGAGGAAGGAGATGTGTTTTTTCTTTGAAAAGAGGTTGTTGGTTTTCGCGAGAAGAAGCGACAAATTATAGCCTTGCGTTTCGTGTTACCGAGTGTGAAATTTATTTTTCGTATATCTTATCTCCCGATTGTCCCTGGGATGAGGTTGAGCGAGAAAGAAGATGAAATTTCGTGTAGAAAATGCTGATCCGGCGAACGAGAAGCATTAGGCGATGCAAAACAGGTCCTTGCGAACTTGTTCTGGAGAATAAGCCCGCGACATTTTACCCGGAATGGGAATGGGATCGAGATTTTATGTATGTATTGTATTGGATGGAATGGCTTTGTCAAAGTTGCCTGGAGTAAAATGGACAGATGCAAACGAATTTGCAGGAAACTTTCTCATTTCATTGCGGTATGTCCCATTTTTTTGACAGTGTAGCAGTTTATTTTCTTTTTTGTTTTATGGTGCACGTGTAATTATTTGATTTTTTCCTTTTCTCCTCAGGTTGACATCTTAATTACAATCTGCGAAATCCGAAAAGACAATGAATACTTTGAAGCTACCGTTTTGGTGTGCTAAATTTCTTGTTGCTCAAAATTTTTTCCTTTTTAAAAGCAAATTCAACAGGTATACTTGCTGGAGTGGTTATGAAAATGTTTTTCCAGCTTGTTGAGTAAACAAGAACTCTGGGCCAAGGGGGAAACCAGTGAAGGTTTTCTCTTGCATGAAGTAGTTCAGCATCATTCTCTCATTTCACATTCCACATTTTTGGTGAGTTATTAATATTATCCCATTATCTTTTTAGTATTGTTAATCCAATGTGTGCAAAAATAGATTAAGCAATTAATCTCTATCACAATGGAGAGTCCACTTGTAATTACAAAAGTTATCTTGAGAAACAAAGAAGTTCAACAGAAGTAAAGATAAAGCATATAGAAAATGCTCGCAAGTCACAACCCCATAACTTGTTGGCATCTACTGCAGTTTCTTCAGTACCATGTGCCCACTTCAGTTTGAACGTGGAGCCAAAATTCAAAAAATTTAATTTAAAACTTTTTTAAAAGTTTTTAACTTCTTCACACCATGAACAGACATATATCTTGACGTAGTTAAACCTAACCGCTAAAAACTTAATTTACCTTAAGTTTTCACATCTCTGATGTGGAGTTTGTTGGAGACTCAAATACAATATTGATATAATAAATAAATTAACCAATTTTGGACACAGCAAGAAGAAATTAATAGAGTGGAAAAACCACCCAAGTAGAAAAACCCGCCAGAGACATCCGCGTTAACGAACTTTTACCCCCTCCTAAAAAATCAAAAACTGGCGCCAATAAGACGTCTTCAACTTGACTTTGTTGAGCCAATCAAACACCTTGGCGCCAACCCCCGTCCTTGATCCACATCCTGGATCAAGGAGAAATCTAGAACAAATCAAATAATTAATAAAAGCCCAATTTCAACAATATATTACCACCAGTTGTCCAAAGTCATTGCTTGGAGCATCTTCCCGCGTACTGAGAGTTTTGCTGAGAGGAAAATTCAACTTAAAACTTCTATAAATTTCTTGTGTGTTTTTTGGGACTTGTACAAAATCTGAAATATATTCATCACTTTTCTTTTGGAATCTGACCAGAGATTCCCTGCCTTGTCCCGGGCGGATTCCGCATTTTTATTCCTCTTCAACCAAACCAAATTTCTTTCTAAATATTCTTCCTTCACTTTGTGTTGAGTTATTTTCTGCTTGAATCCTCAACAGAGGTTTTTGAGCAATAAAAATTGAACTCTATGCTGCAAAAGTTGAGAATAGGGACCAAGTGGGGAAAATACACCCTTGCCTCTGTTCAGTATCATGTAAACTCATTTATTCAGCTGCAATTTATTCTGTAATTGGCACCAAAAAAATGCCAAGACAATATTCTTAAAACGTCCTCCCATTTGATAGTGTCCCTTATTGATGCAGGGGTCTTTTTAATTTCCAGAGGAGAAAGCCGTTATTTTGCATCTTACTGAACATCCGTTGTGACTGAGCGCATTGAAGGCACAGGTTTCCCTAATAATCATGAGTCCTACTATGTACGAAGAAGACTTAGATGACTTCAGGTTTGATCATCCATGCTGCGACGAAAGCTTAGATTATCGCTATGGGCACGAAGTTTTCCGGCTTGGCAGTGAAGAATGGCGCTTCGAAGATAAGAAATTTCATCCATGGTCATGGTCAGAAATGTCCTTTTCGAACAAGGTCAATCGTCTGTGTCTTCTTCATCACAGTCAGGATGACCCTGGCTTGACAGACAATGGGAAAAGTGAAGATGTTGCCCGTGAGCATCTGAAAATTTGTTTTCACGTATTGAACCAGGACCCGTTAAATGTTGAGGAAGGATTTCGCCATGCCAACAATGCGCTGAATTGGGTTCCACAAAAAAATGGAAAGTTTTTGAAACCTTCCGATAAGCGACCTCGTGAAACCGAAGAAACACGTCTCAAGTGGGTCCCAGATTTTGGGGCTGTAACCCTGGCCGCAGCGTTTGTAGCCAGGGCTGAATTGTTTTGGAGGTTAGTTATGGAAAGTGTACATGTTCAGAACTTGTTATACAATTAGTAGAAAGGGAAACATTGCCCGATTTTGATATTCTTTGCCCCACTTACGTATGCATTTCTCATTGAACTCACGTTACATAGTTCCTAGGTATTCCATATGATATGAAGAAACCGCGGGCCTCTTCTTGGTACCGATTTAAGAAGTCAAGAAATGCAGTTAGTCTCTCTACAACAATCTTGTCTTCAACAATTTTCTCTTTATAACCATATTTTAGTCCTGCAAGGATTTCTGTATACTGTATATTGATTTGCATTGAGGGTTTCTACTAAGAAATTCTCACCAAATGCATTTTTTTCTCACCTGAATTTTGTTTTAGAAAAGTCCCACCCCCCGCCCCGTGTTTTTCAAAATTTGCTTAGGATAATGAATCTTCGTATAGTTTCTCAATGCTTGAAAAAACAGTGACAATTCTGGGAATTTTTGATAATTTTTACTCAGCAGGAATTAATTTGAGGTGCTCTTGGTGCAGTCCTCAAAAAAGCTTGAGAGCTGCACTTATCTGAAATTTTCTTTCATAGGCCTCATACTGTGCTGTATTTTTAACACATTTTTATTAACTCGCTTTCTTTTGAAGCATAGAGTTCGATTTTTATTGCTCAAAAACCTCCACTAAGAGATGATGCGCACCACGTTTAAGGTTATTATTTCCGTTTTCAAAACGTGGTTTTTTAGATTAATTTTTTAATCTACGAAATTTTTTTTTAAATACTGCAGCTGGAATGATTTTTTTTAGTATTGCTTTGCTAACTTTTATCTAGTACCGTACTGTATAAATTTGATGGAATCAGAATCCTTGAGTGATTTCAATGAATTTATTCTCAACCTTGGTATGCAAATACTTCACTTCGAAATAGCACGTACCTGTACAAAATTTTCAAAGGAGCGATAGATTGGTTTTCTCATTTTTATTAAAATTTAGATCTTCCTCTATTCAGGGTTCTTCAAGCTCAAGTCACTTCGAAAAATTTAGTCCTTTCTTTCTCTTCCTTCTGTTCTCTCTCCATTTGGAGATGCTCAAACTCAAGGTGTCATGGGAATTTATTTTCATTGCGTTATTATTTTTATAGTGTCTTTTCTTGAAATTCGTAAATTTTCTGTGCACTATTTTTGCAGGGTTGGAATGACCCAAAATGCCAGGAAAGATTATTATGAAGCTCGTTGCGCTCTGGTGTCGAAGAACAATGGCGATGACGTAGCACTGATAGAAGACACCATAGTTATGATGCAGTTCAAAGAAGAAATTGACGCCTACTGCTACATCACAGTCGCCTCCTGGATACAGATTTTGCAAGACAACTATTCTGTGGCTCTCAAGAACATCTCTTCTGCTCAGAAGTGGGCAAAAATTTCCAAATCTCCCAATCTACGCTACATCCAGGAATGGGAGAAAATCACGAACGAAATTCAGCGGGTTGCTGAAGATGAACACTTAAGCCTCACCGATATCGAAGAAGGAGCTCGTGTCAAAATACAGGATTTGGCTTGTTTGAGCTGGAGGGAACACCCTTTGGTAGAAAGCGATCCAAAGTATGCGGTGAATTTCATCGATATAATAAATGAACAGTACGATGATATTACGGGAGGATCTGAATATGACATGTTACACTCGGCAGTGGATGTGAGGTATTCTTCCAAGAAAGGACGACACCTTGTGGCCAAGCGAAACATTCCAGCTGGTGAGTTCAACGAATTTAGCGTATGTTTCGACCGCTCACGGTTGAAAATGCTCGGTTTTTGTCTTGTCACTTGTGTTCATTTTTTCTGTTAATCAAACTAAACATTTGTTCGTAGTTGTTTGATTATTTTAAACCCTGCATGCTGCTTATCTTAAAATCTCGCGTCCTTATTTAAGGGAGAATTTTTGAAGTTTCTTTAGTGTATATGCAATAATATGCGCTGTTTTTGAAATACCGGTATGCTTTTCTAGGAGCCATTTTGGTGTATGAAGCACCATTCTTTGCCTTGGTGGATCCCAGCCGAATGCTCGAGTTCTGTCATCGTTGCAAGAAGAGGCTTGGTTTCTCCCAAGCTCATTGTCCCACTTGTGTTTATGTGAGTTTTTGTGATGTTTATGCTATGGTCATCTTGTAAATTTTGGTTGTGCATTGATGCTTCTAGGAAAGAATGGGCTTGATAGAAAAGTACTGTATTGACTTTAGTGCCACACACAATTTTTTCCAAATCAAGGTTGTGAAGTTTTTTTATCCTCTTTTTTTATACAGGTATGACATTTTGGATGCGTGTCTTATTTGATTTTAATAAAAATTTGGGACCCATTTTAACAAATTTTTATTTCTAGAAAATTGAACATTAATCCAACTTCAGGTAACAATTAATTCAGATTTTAGATTCTGATTATTTTCAAAATTTTGAAAATTTTCCATCAGGGAAAATGGGGTGCGCATCTTTTTCGAGTGTACGATATTGGATTAAATAAAATACTTCACTATGAGCCTTGGGTGATTCACTCTTGGTTATTAACATGTTTTATAAATTATGTATGGTAAAAATTAGTTTTAAGTTTGATGGACTTACGTAATATTTCAAGCCACTGGAGTTGGTCCGATGATACCCTTGAATACTTTCTGTAAAATAGATTATTTTGAAAATTAATAAGCTGTCTATTTAGTTGATCAATCTACTTTTATTTAATGGATAAAGGAGTAATTCTTCTTCAAAGATTGCCTATTATTATGACCTTAGAGTAAGGTGCTGTGATACTGAGTATAAAACATGAAATTAGCCACTTGGAAGTTACAAATTGTCCACCGATGGAGACAAAATGAAACTATTTACTAAGAATATATCTTTTTTCTTGAATCTATGCAGACGCGGTATTGTGATTCTTACTGCAAATCCCAAGATTACTATCACCCCTACGAATGCCAATACATGGGTTATTTTCGAAGCAGAGGAGACCTGGACCTGGAATTTGCGGGAAGGCTGACGGAGCGTTTGCCATGGGCCCTTGCAAATAATCTAAACTATCAACAAAGCATTAATGAAATTTTTGACAACGAAAGGATTGAGAGAGGCTTGCCGTCCAAGGGAAACGAATCCTGGCGTGGGTATTCGCAGAGGATAGCTAAGGAAAAAATCACTTCTTAGAGAAAGGATTATTTTATGCCTATCTGTACTGTACCTATGCATTAGAAGATGTAAAATACTCAACTTTTGTATAAATGTAGTTGAACCTTGAGTTTTTGATTTGAGGACATTGGCTAGATTATGCAACGGGAATTGTTATTCTGGTCAATTTATTAGAACTGTTCATCATCCATGAATTTCATACTTGCAGGAATATGCATAATCCCTCGCGCCAAGCCCAACGAAAATAGTTGGGAACAAATAACAAAATAAGAAATATATAAATATAAAATATTAGAAAATTTGAAAAACCTGATAATTTGCCAACGAAAATAGTTTCCAACATTTCGCCACAATTTAAGAAGCTTGGAAATGTTCAAGGCCGGGACGTTGGACTATTAAAGGTTGTAGTTGGAGAGGTTTAAATTGCACTGGAGTTGAGGAAATTGGTCGGGGATGGTTTGAAAACTCATATTAGGGAGGTGTTTAACGGTACAGTAATCAATTTAGGAAAACTATGGAATTGGTTTCCAACTTTCTCAAATTCATATGCTCTTATTTTTAATTGGAAGGTTTTGTAGCCATCATGGTCATGTTGAATCAACCATCCCAAAAATCATAAAATTGAACATTTTGTTTTTATTCAAAAAATTTCATTTTCCATCCATTCTGGTCCTGAAATCTTGACATTTTCGAAATACAGTAATTGGTAGTAAGACAATTTGTAAATCATTTCAGAAAATTTTACTGTTCTTTCTGAGGCATAAAAAAATTGATTCCTGATTAAATATGAAGGTTCGGCAGAAATAAAATTTGGTTCAGACCCGGTTTTGTTATCATTGTTGAAAATTGAATTCAAACAATTTCCAAGTTCCCAAATGTTGGCGTCTTGTATAAAAAGTTTGATTTGACTGTTCAATGCATTAACTAAAACCGATGTCCATTTTAATGCCTAGACTGTCAAATTTTTCTACATTTCATCGTTTTTCAAAATTACTTTCTTTATTTGTAGAAACCATCATGTGAGGTTTCATTTGAAAATTCAATCTATCCAAAAGGAATTGAATTCTGCTTCCATTGAGTCCAGATTTCTGTAATATATTGTTTTCTTTGTTTCGAATCACCTTACTTTATTTTCCAAAAGTAATTTAAATCATCAGTACAGCATACATCCTTCGTGTGAGTATATGATTTTTGTGTCTTTTTTTCCCTAATCCAATCTACAGTATATACATACAGAGATTTGTTTGTTTTTCAGTGTATCTGGACATCATGGCCATTCCAAAAACCTATTACCAGAATTATCGCTCGCGTGAGCTTGATAGATGTCACGATGCTGTTGAGACTGCAGTCCTTATGGGATCCGCAGGCAGGGACAAGCCTGAGTCGCCGCTTATGACCAGACTCCGCGCCAAAATAATTTTTCATTTAAAATGCAATTTGGCGGGTTACAAGTTTCAACTCCCGCAAACCGAATTTGTTCCAGGTACTGTACTGTGGTGCGATGATTTGAAAATTAACCTGGCCTATAACTCCATTTTCCCCTTGACTGCCTGCCAGCAAATAATTTCTGGAAAGTTGTCATTTCAGCCACCCTGCTGTGATTAATTTGTTTAGACTTTGAAAACTTGAAGCTGATCTTAGATGGGCCTGATTATTGATCGCCATCCGATCAGAATAAGGGAAATTATTCATTACTTTTGAATCTTCAGTGATCGTACAGTATGTTTGTATAGGTAAAGTGTCCGGAAAAACGGATTCCTTTGGAACCGCTCTGTTGAACTATGGCATGCTTTTCAACCATTCCTGCACTTACGGATGCACTTGGGATTTTGTGAGTGGAAAATTTGTTTTCCGAACATTGGTACCTTTCTCATGCGGAGAAGAGCTTACGATCAATTGCGGGGTCAACTTCACGACGGATGTGCGGGAGGAACGGAAATTTTTTAATGAGTAAGTCATACACGTGATTTTTGCTGTTGCAAGTGTTCCTAAATAATTTGTATTTTTCAGTGATGGGATAACCGAATTCACGTGTGAATGTGAAGCCTGTTGTGAGAACTGGCCGCTGGTTCAATTCCAAAGTTTGCATCAATACTTCGATTTGAGCATTTGCCCTTCGTGTAAATCAAATGCAGTTTCTGGATCAACTTGTGACGATTGTAAAGCTGATCTTGTTCCAGAGCAGAAGAAGTTGAAGGACCTTTCTCTCGTCGCAGAGGTGAGGAACTTGGTGAAACACTCCAGAAAAGGAAGTTTAAAAACATACTGGGTAAACCATCCCAACAACGCGCCTCAAATATTCTTTTTTCATTTGAAATGAAATTTTCACTTAGGTGGGTGTCTGGAACAAATATTATATAAGGAAATTTAATATTTGGCATAACTTGTAGAAACATTAATTTCCCCAACTAATATCTGGAATTTTATGAGAAAATTGTAATTTATAAGATGGCTTCCCATTATCCAATCAATAGGATGCTGTGAAACTGCTACAGGATTTCAGAATTACGGACGCTGAAAAGTTGTTAGTGGATGCAATCAATGCTGGAAAAATGAAGGCCAAAAGTGGAGCTAATCACGAAATCTTCCTGGTGAAGTTACTTCGTCGCTGCTGGGCCTTGCAAGGATGCGTTTCTGTCCTGAAGCCAGAAGAAATGGACAAAAATTTTGATTATGACACATTGTGACTTGCTGGAAAATGAAGCGCCGACGTGTGCCGTGTAATTGGAAAAAACTCAGCCATTCTCGGATTTATTCCGCGGCAGATGTCACTCAGTAATTTTCCAGCCAGTTTGCAAAATATTCCATCGATGAATGAATTCAAACAAAATTTTAGTTTTTGAGAACATTCTTCCTACTTAACAAATATGGTGAATAACCTGTTCTGGAGAATAAAGAAGCCCGCGACAATTACGCAGAATGTGAATGGATGGAATAGCTTTCTAAGCTTTGTCGGAGTTGACTGTTGGGGTGAAATGGGCAGATGCAAAATAAATTACAGGGAATTTTCTCATTTCATTGCGGCATTTCACATTTTTGTTGACATTACAACAGTTTATTTTCTTTTTTTATAGTGCTCGTGTTTAATATTCGATTTTTTCGTTCTCCTCAGGTTGATGTGTTATTTACTACCCGCGAAACTCGAAAAGGCGGTGATTTCTTCAAAGTTGACAATGCGGTGTGCCGAATTACTTTCTTTAAAAATTGTTTTTCTATTTTTTGAGAAATACTGAACAGCTATGCAGATCGTGAAGAAATGTTTCCAGCCGTCATTTTGCTTCGTTTTTTATTATTTTGGATCTTCTAAGCATTCATTTTCAAGCTTCTTCTTGCATAATTACAGGTGGACTCTCCGTACAAAAAATGATACAGGGAGGTCATAAAAGAGGGTTGTAAAGCAGTGTTCCTCAACCTTTTTGGGCTCATGGACCGTCAAATTTCTTCATTCTTTGCAGACCAGGAACTTTCTTGAACATTTTCCATGTATGTGCAAAATTTCAGATAATTGAGTGATAAGAAAATTTTTGCATCGAATACTTCATGGAAGTTATTGAGAAAGTGCCTGCCTTTCGGGAAGCATTAAGAACCATTGAAGCGGTTAAGTGGAATGTATTCAAAAATTAGAAAAATGGAAATGAAATTAGAAGAAAGGTTTCTCTGTATGAAGAAATTAAAATCTTGTATTTCAGTTGGTGAAAATTTGTCTGAATGGTTATAAGGAGAAAAGCCTACTTTAATATTCTCATCAGATAATTTCAACTGCCAATTTTTTTTTCTCTGAAAAAAGGTGTTCCTTTTCATCCAAATGATGATCCTTTCTGAGTGAACGCGATTTCATAACTTCATGAAGAGCCTCCTGAAACCACGAAAATTCGTCTCGCAAATGGGTCCCAGATTTTGTGGCTGCAACTGGGACCGCTGGGTTTACAGCGAAAGCTGAGTTGTTATATAGGTTAGTACTGGAAACTGTGACTCTTCAGAACTTGTTACTGAATTATGTGGAAGACCATTGCACAATTGGCCATTTTTGCCCCACTTATATATCTGCATACCTTATTGAACTCATTTCGTGGCTAAGCAAATCATTACAGCTTATAAGTTTTACGAATTTGAAATGTGTCTTGCTCACTCAGTCGAGTCACAAACTAAAAATGGTTCATCCTGACTCCCGTAGTTGTTCAGAAAATGTCTAAAAAAAAGATTTTAAAACTTTCATCCTTGTTTTAAAATGTTGTGTAATTGTTCTATAGTATTAATGATAGAAGTTGAAACTGATTATTTATGACGTTTTTTTTTCAACTTTGCTTTTCCAGGAGCCAGTTTGCTGAGCCATACTTCGCAAAGGTTGATCCCAGCAGAATGTATGAGTTTTGCTGTCATTTTTTGAAAGAAGCTGCTTGGTTTCTACCGCATTCATCATCCACATTGTGTTTGTGTAAGGTTTTATTATGGCTATGTTATGGTCTTATTCTATATTTGGGTTAACATTGATTCTACATTTCTAAGTTGGGCTTAAGATGCAGTTACTGTATTCACTCAATTACCCTGAGGATACATGCCCTGTATTAAAATTAAGACTGGAAAAAAGAGGGTATGCATTAGATGCAGTCATACAATTTTTCAAATTCCAGATGTGGTCTTTTGTTATTCTAATTATGGACCTATTTCAATAAAATAATTGAAAATGAACATTTTAATTGAATGATGGTTAAATTTCATCTAAAAGTGAAATCCTCCTGGTCTACGAAGGTTCGGTATTTAAAACATTAAAATAAATATAAAGAAAAATTATATGTTATGTGTTGAATTTCCTGAAAATGGGATGAGCACCCTACTCTGGGATAGACCTTTTTAAAAACTGTAAGAAAATAAGGTGCAGATCTTCCTTATTGAGGGTGTTTGGTACTTGAACAAATATGATTTAGACTTGTGTGATTTATACATGATGGTTTTAATAAGTGTAGAATCTGTGGTTATTTGTCATGCTTTGTAAAGTATAATTTATTGTGAATATATGTTGAAGAAATGGTTTTGAATTTTAGGTACCATTGCATACTTCATCACTGGATTTAGTCTATAACGGATTGGGCCATTGGTTGTGACAAATACTGTTACTAAATTTGTAATTGGCCAATCTTCCATTTATTCCATCAGTCCGCATGTACAGTATTTGATAATGGAAGAAAAATTGGTAGCGCACAAAGTGGACTCCACACCATAAATAGGTAATGTTTCAATTCAATGATACGCTTTATTACAACTGTTTACTTTCTGTAAAATATGTAGAACGTTTATACCCACTTAATTACAAAGGCCTTGAAATGTTGACAGGGAAGTTTGACCCAACATGTACTGAGCTATAGGGACACTTAAATTGCGCTGTAATTCATTGAATGGGTCAGATGAGCCTGTTGATGATAGATCGCAATCGAATCATGACGTAAATTTGGCATTACTTTTGAATGTAGGTGAAGTAGCAGGAAAAGCAAAATCGTTTCGGATTGGCTCTGTTCATCCGTCCACACTCTTCACTTGTTTTGTGAATGGACTTCTTCTCCGAACCTTGATACCTTTCTTATTTGGAGAACGTTTAAATATTACTCTGAAAGTGAGTACGCCTATATTTGGATTTTATGGTTGCTAGAATGTTTTCGAAATATTTTTCACTATTTTTCAGTGGAATTCAAGTGATAAGTAGCTGCTGGTTCAACTGCTGGATCTGCATTAATGCTTCGAATTGAGCAAGTCATATCTAAATCAAATGCAGCTTCAGCTTCTGGATCTCTTGTGACATTTGTGTAAAGCTGATCGTCATCGTTTTTCTCTCATTGCAAAGGTGAGGTATGCTCAGGTGGTTTGCGATTCCTATGCACAGTTCAATAAATTTCCATCTGTTGCTTGAAGATGATAAATGTAATATTACGGTATCAAACCTATTCAAATTCTATTCAAATTAACAGATAAAACTAAAGACCCAAGAATGTTGGCCAAGATCTAGAAATTTTTTCTGAAAGCATATTGGAAGAACCATTGTTTTCGCTGGAGAGTTTAAGAAAAATGCTCTGAGCTAGACTGAATATTGTCATCATAATCTGACGCAATTACAGGATGCTGAAGGAGTTCAGAGAAAGTTGCTGACAACACTGGAGCCAGGATGACATTTTTAGCTAGCTGCAGAACAGAATTCAACTGGCTACGATGTCCAGAGATCTACGAAATTCTTCGCCATAGATGAGAAATCAAGGACGACATTCTACCGTGTAATGGATGCAAACTCACCAATTCTCGGATTTCTTCCTCTCCAGGAGTGAATCCGAGAATTGGTGAGTTTGCACCCGGCTGAGAAATCAAGAGACATTAACCGTTTCATGAGGACGAATTTATCCATTCTCCGATTTATTCCACGGCGAAGAGTGACATCTGCTGTGGTATTAATCCGAGAATGGGTGAGTTTGCTTTCATTGAATGGTAGATGTCATTCCTTGATTTTTCAGCCGGGTTTCTAGGAACACAGTCATTTCCGATAATTATTCATTAATAATTCAGAAACCTCATTTTTGAGAACATTCCCCCACTTTATTGCAAAACGACGAACAAATATATTTCAACCATTCAAACGCAGCATAGCTTTGGAAGAAATTAGGCCCAACAATTTCTCATCCACTTCATTGCCTATGTAAGGCAAGGATTCCGTAAGACATTAACGCAAGAAAAAGTAAAAGACCACTCCAAATTTAAGAAAATAATGCAAGAATCAACAGAAACTGAAAACATCATTTGAAGAAATATTCAGATCACAATACCAGAATAGCTAGGGAAAAATTGGCACAACAACAATTCCCCGAACTAAATCTCCTACTCCATCTCCAAAGGATTTTGGCCAGCCAAAGTAAATTTCTTTTGATCTCACTGAGTTCTTGGTTCCACTGCTAAAAAAGGAGAAATTCTATTCCTCATGCATGCTGGGAGAGTTTTTCAGAAGAAGTGCATCGCAGAGGTAAGCACGCTTGCACCCACAGCCCTGGACGTTCCATCATACTCCTCCACAAGGCCTCTTCCTCACCTCGGGCATCCATCCAGTCCACTGGACGACCGAAATGTTTCCCTGTGCAAAATCAATGAGAAAAAGCTCATGAACATACCCAATGAAATTGTAACTTGTTCTTTTATCAAATATCTGGTTAGTTTAAAGTTTAAACTCGTAAGTATTGATTGCTGAAGTTGCAAACCTGTGCCCAAGTTGAATCGCACTCCTCCAATCACTGAATTGGAAGTCAGACGGTCATGATCCCAAACAGTGATCTCCACTGAGCGGTCCCGCAAATCTGACAGGGTGACGTTGCCAAAAGTAAACGTGTGATTCCAATTTGGACTGCTAGAACGCTTCACAGGCGAACTCTTTTGCTTCTGACTCCGATCGGGCAACAACCAACTGCATGAATTAATTAAAAATTAAGAATTGCTACAAAGATATATCACAACCATGATTCACAAAGTGAAAGAAGAACTTTCACAGAAATCGCCTTTCTCAGAAATGACTCAGAAGTACTTATATTACCATTTAATCTAATTTATGAAGAATTTCTTTCTAGAGATGCTGCACTTGAAAAAATGAAAACCAGCATATTTCATTAAATTCTGATACATCCTGTAAATTTAAGTTGTTCCCAAAATCATTGCCATCAATTCCATGTCAGAAATGTTAACACACCATTTGAGGAAGGCATCAAGTGGGACGCCAGATCTGGCGCCGACAACGTCGCGGCCTTCCTTGACTAGGACGTGGAGAGTGCCGGTGCCGGCAGGAGGTGGTGAGAATGGCGGCGTGGCCAGCTGCGGCGGCACATCAATACCACGCTCTGACGTACCTGGCGGTGGGCCGCCCAGGTACGCCAGTCCATACGGCGACCCGCCAGCAGGCACGAACTTCAGCGCCACTATGAGACTCCCTTTGAAAAACGCCGCATCGTCGTTTGATGGCAACTGTGGGAACAACATAGATTCGTATGAATATCTTGACAATCGAATTCAAGACGTCATTTCACAGATAGCTGAGTTTAAACTTTTTTTGTTTCACTATTCAGGCTATCGTAAGTGGAAGTAAATTTGCAAGTTTTAATTTACATTGAAAATGTATTTTTACAAACATTTTTTAAAATACCAAATTGTGGTAATAAAAAATTAAAATACATTTGTATTTTCATGTACTGCAATCAAAATTTTCAAAGCAGAGATCTCTTTACCAAATCATTCATGATCAATAAATTTGTGATGATACTTGAATTCTACCAAGAATTTATTGGATTCTTTTTAATGGCATACAGTCAGATGACCTCAACCAGTAGAAAAATGATTTCACTAAAGCCTATGAATGTTAAATTTATTTAATTCTTTTTCACCTTCTCTTGCAACTTGTACCACTTGGGTATGGGGTTCGCCAGATCAGTCAACTTCAATGGCAGCGTCACTTCCCCAAGAAAGTCATTCCTGCCGAACATATCACTGTGCCATACGGACAATGACAGCGTCCTTGCCATCAAGTCTTCCAGCGTTCCTGGAAACTGTTGAAAAACAATAAAAAATGTATTTAGAAGTGTTGTATAATCAGTCACAATTATTGGGGGGAATTTTATTTTACAAAACATATGGAACGTCATTTTGTGAGCTCTATTCCAACTCCCCCTGTTCCAATGATCAGCAAGTTCAAGTTTAATTTTTTTTGTCAAAATCGAAAGATCTTCTTCATAGCAATGATGCCCCACATTTGTTGACAATCATGCTACAAAGCAAAGACTGGTATTAGCTTGACGAGGAAGAGGCTGAATGTTCAGGTTCCCCAAAAAATGTCTACTGTAGAGCAAGAATGTGCACAAGTCAGTAAATTAAAAACAGAAAATCTGAAGAGATTTTTTTAGAGGCTTGCTTTTGATCCAACTGTGTCCTAGGGGTAGCTGTTTAAGAAGCTTGGTTACTGGAAGAACTTTACTTCGAGGTACTGACCGTACTGTACTCAGAGTACTTTTCAAGCATCTCAATTTTAAACTCCTAAAACTTAAAGTTTAAAAATAGACTCCTTCAACTTTCACAAGTCCTTCTCACAAGATTTACTACAATGAAGGAATGTCAAGAAGTTCCACAAGTCAAGGCTGAAGTAGAACATTCACATTAATTTTGCCATTAATCTCATAGTGGTAAAGAAACTTTTGTACATATAAAGAATCCTATTTCAAGGTACTCTAAATAATTTAAACCATTCCTCCAACTCCCAACTAATGACTTACTCGAAGCACTTCGTCAAAGATCGGGTTCAAAGTGTGCTTCTTCACTTTTGTCTTCCGCTTCCCAGTTTTTGTCCGGTCCGGAAGAAGGTAAACTTTCACGTACCTGTGTTGAAGTAAACAAATTCATATATTAAAGACATGTAAATAATAATAATTTTTTATCTGACGAATTATCATATTCAACAAGACTCACGGGTCGGATCGATTCCTCCGCAAATCGACAGCAGCCAATTCTCGACACTGCTTGATGTGTATCTCCAAGTTGGTTCCCTGTTCGTTGAATTGGACGGAAAACTGAACCTCGCCCTTCACTGGAACAATGTTGGTGACGGTGAAACCTGACAAGTCGCTGAGCGTCGAGTTGACACTCATGCTCTCTTCTCGGACCTGCTTGTGTCGAAAAACGTGGTACTGTACAAATCGAGGTCATGAGAAACAAGTCTTTTCAAATGAGTCGCCAAATCAAATGCCAAGTAAAACGGAAGCCAGGAAAAGAATCATGAAGGAAGGAAGATTCGAATCAGCAGTCAAACCTCGCCCTCTAAGATATCGAATGCATGCAGTTCTACAATTTTACGGGCTATTACACAGATGTCGCCTGCATCTTAACACGGTTTTAGATATATTGAAGGAAAATTAACGATGTTGACTTGAGCTTGGGATGCTCTTTTTTTTCGCACACATTTAACTTATAACTTATTTTCATAAGAGTTCTAGACGAATATTTCCTCAAATGGTAAACTCAAAAAATGTAATACAGTATTCACGAGACTTGAGACCAAATACGATGCAAGCGCTTTTATTAATGATGCACGCCTCGGGGATTGAGTGATATTCAATATGTTTCCGTGAATCGAGCTCAAAAATAAGTTCTGAATAGTTTCATTTTTTTTTTTCAACGAAAGTTTCTAAAATAATCAAAGTTAAAAATGAGAGAAACTATACTGTATTTGCGAAAACAGAACCATACATTTTTTTTTCGTAGACAACGCCGTGCGTTACCGTCATGAAGCCCTAGCATGAATGATTCAGGCGACACCTGCCTTCAAATCTAGAAGACTGAAAGCAATTCACATCTAATTATTTCCCTCCACCTGACCCAGGCTGAAGAAAAAGTAATCCTTTAAACAGGCTAGAAAAGATGAAAAAAAAGAATGGAAACGTACCGAAGATTTTCCTCGTTGATATGCGAAGTATCTGTCCAGGTCTTCGGACTCGGACTCTGACCAGGCGGGACTGATGACAGCTGGGGCAGACATGGTGGAGATCTTGCGGGGAGACATCGGAGGACTGCTGGTGCCGACGCTTCCATCGCTGCCCCTTTTTTTTGTGGAAGAGAAACAAAATAGAGAGTGATTGAAATGTTCCATGCACAGTATTAGAAGAAAAATTTCCCAATGGAGAATCAACATTATAAATTCATCCATCACTATTCATTTGAAAATCCTCATTAAGCTGCGGTTGTAAATGGCAGTGACATCTACCCACACAGAAAAACCTGTAACCACAACTGACAGCTCTAAGCACGAATTTTACACCATTTAAAATCATAGAAGCCTTTCAGATTAAAAAAATACACAGAAGAATCATAAAATTATGTGCTTAGATTCCTATCTCAAGAATAGAGTCCATTGGTAGTCAATTTTCCTCAGGTTCAAGTACAGTACTGTACTGTATAAGAATCCCAACAGCAGATGAACTTCAGGCAAATCAACATAAAAACAAGCTACCAGTGACATCTACACGCACTAAACCAACGTTTCAGTGAAGAACATTTACAATTAAGGTCACACATTTCTCATTTCCCAGTGATTGAACTTTTGGAAAAGTTGTGTCACATTAAAATTGAAATTAGACTAATTGGAAATTTTGGTTCAACAAGGGACTTTCATTTTCTTGAAATCAATGCCTGAAGGGGATCTTAAAAGGCATTTAATTAAATAAAAATCACACGTATAATTCATACTAAGGTACAGTATTTCTGCCAGTCTGGCATAATACAAAAAGTAAAGATTAATTATTGATACTGCAAGTCAAATTTTGTAAGCATTTCAGATCGAAATTTGACCCGCTCCTTTATACGGTACATGTTGAGCATTCTAATCAAACATGCAATTTTCTTTTCATGATCCCGTCATATACGAAAGTCTTATTTTAATTTATTAAAACGATACAGAGGAAGAAGAAAAAAATGATCGACCAGAACGAAGCCATAAAATTATAAGGCTTCAGACTCCGAAAGAAAATTTTCACACGTGAAAATTCACACGCATTTTACAAGAATGCCATGTGAAAGTCTAATCGCGTATTGACCGCAGAGACAACCACTCGAGAGGCAATATACAGTTTTATTCTACATTCGATGTTTTCGGAAAAAAAAATAATCATACGGTTTTAAAAGTTCACGTGTTTACCTGGAAGAAGCCGCAGGACTTTCAGGTGGGGTCAAAGTCTTGGAGATGACAGACAAAGCAGGCGAGGTCAGTCGCGCCAAAGCTGCGGAACTCCGCGGTTTCGGTGATCCTGCAAAAAATAAAATCAAAACGGTTTAAAAATATTTTGAAGAACAGCTGAAAATTCTTGAAACCATTCATTCGTCTATGTATAACGACAAAAAAAAAAAAGCGCCCTTCACCAGCATTCAAAAATACCCGAGCCTGAAGTGAAGGCTTTTCCACGAAAATCAAATCCAGGAAAACTTGCAAGATTGCGATCGCAAGGAAACTTTTGGAAAGCTCACTTCCTTTTGGCTTTCAATTCACACCAAAAGAAAAATTACGGTTAACGATTAAATGAATCGATTGAGCGGGAAACCGGGTCAAAATTTGAGAAAAATGTAGAAGAAACTATTCAATTCCAGCAATTATTCCACTTCGCTGCTTTCAATTAAAAGTTTGATTGAATTTTACTATTCGTAAAAAATGCTTCACGGAAACCGCCTTATACATAATTTGACTGAAATTCGATCACCAAAAAATACCGATGCAGAATTAAATTAAAATTATAATCCGGAAGTCCCAATTTTCAAATTCTGAAAAAAACGTACACGGTTTGAAAAGACGAGCACCTGAAAACAATTATTTTGCATGCGTTCCTTCTTATTTGCAACCTTTAAAAATAAACATCCAGAAATGCGTTTATATATGTTTCCAACGAATATTAAATGCTTTATACAGTATAATTAATTACAACAGATTAAAAAAAAAGAAACTCAGACGTATTATGAGAGTACAATTGTTTCCACACATAAATGAAGCAGGATACGGATTTCCGTTGAATAATTCTGAGGTGTGACGCATTTTTCTACGAAATCCCTAAAGACATATAAATAATAAGGCAAAATAATTGTGCCAAAATTAAAAGCGATATTTTTATTTGCTGCAAAACTAAACGTGAAAAAACATTTTCGTTGTTACTGAAAATCACATTTTAGGGAAATGACGCGGGTTCACGTCAAAGAAGGGATTCCACCTAGAAATATAAAAACTCTCCTAATTCTAACATCCCTTTTTTTCAACATTATACAACCGTAATTTCTCACTAATTTTTTTTTTCAAAATTCGAAAGAAAAAAAAAAAACGTTAGAGGCTGTAAACAGAAGACTCTTATTCGCACACCGGAAACGGATGAACCCAGCAACCTTTGTTGTTGGCACAGGGTAAGTTTCAATTGCCCGCGCAGAACTGCGATGATGACCTGACTCAACAATAAACAGGACGCGGAACAATTTCGAAACAGAAGAAAATAAAAAAAAAGGTATGAAATAAATGGAACTCTCTTCCCTTTCCCCCCCACTGCACCCGGGGTACAAAGAGTCAACGACTCTGGTCCACTTCCCCGCACAAAACACCAACATGTAAAAAAATAGGAAGCGACTTCCGCTTTTTCAGAGGAAAAAAGAAAGAAAATGAATAATAATATTATGCACGCCCACCGGAAAAGGCGAGAAAAAATCACGACCCGGGCCCCCGGAAACGCAAAAATAGCGCCACGTAATTGCAGGCCGAGCCGCGAAAATCGTGACCACAGCAGGGGGCTTCAGTCATCCAGGGGCCAGGAATTAAAGTCGACAAGATTTCCTTTTCCCTCCGTCATTTTATTCATATCTTACTTTTTAGTTTATTTTATTTCCAACGACAAGAGAGGAAATGCAGTGGCTATTGTCCAAGGCACACGAGAGAGAGAGAGAGAGAGAGAGAGAGAGAGAGAGAGAGAGAGAGAGAGAGAGAGAGAGAGAGAGAGAGAGAGAGAGAGAGAGAGAGAGAGAGATATGCCCTCAGGCACTCAACGTTTCCTCCATGCCCACATGAATAATAAAGTATTTCAAGCTTTCTTTACTCTCGAGTCATTCACATTGAAAGGGCTTTTGAAGAGTCCTCAAATTGCGGAATTTAAATAAAATTCAACACACAAAGACGGAACTTTGTTCTGATGAAACATAAGTCATGAAAATTCCCAGACTTTCAAGAATCGCCATGAAACAGGAAACATTTTAGAAGGAATATCGGCCCTCGATTACTTGAGCAAGAAATCGCATCAAAGCCATCATGACTACCAGCGACACCTACTAACAATAAAATAGTTACCCGTGGTCCAGAACTACACATTCATCACTGCACAGTGATTACTGTATTTTTGACATCCTAAGAAAACCAAAAATATTTGCCCATTGATTCTAGCCGTTAGTCAACAAAAAACCTTTTCATGGCGTCTCACTGATTTTAGCACGACATTTCGTGATTTATTTTCTTGGAATTTAAAATCTAAAAATCATTCACTCGGAAACTAGAATTTGTAAAAATTCAATGAAAGTTCGGAAAACGCGAGAAAGTCTCGAATGAATAAATAAATTAATTATCCTTGACGAGTTGGATATCATACACGGGCATAAATCTTGCCTTTTTTAAATGTTCCTCGAGGTAGAAAAAGGTAAATGTGGGCTGGCGTGATTCCCAGGCAAGAGAAATGTTGGTTCCAACAAAAAAAAAAAAAAAAAAAACCTCAAGAAAAATATGCGAAGAATGTCAAGAGAAGGGCCCGAGATGTTAATTTCCATCATAGGTGATATTTCTAGTTCAGTATACTGGAACCCTGAGCTGCCAAGAAAAATTGCCTAATTAATTTCTCGTCACTTTGAATCTTAACTTCATGAGAATCAAAATCATATTTCATCTCCGAAAGATTAATCATATCGCAAGCGAAACACTTCGAGAACACATTTGAAAGTTTCACCGCACTAAAATAGAATCAGTTCGTTGAAGCGATAAAAAGTTCTAAATAAAAAAAGGATTGTTGAGGTATATTCATCAAACATCTAAAAAAAAAATCTTCTCATCCTAGAGCCTTGAAAAAATTAAGGAAACCATTCCGTAATCAAACCAGAGTAAAACTTCCTCCCCTAATCAACGAAGACGCGAGTAAAATGCCGCATTTCCGAGAAGCATAATCCGAGACCCAAAAATATTAATCATGCGGAAACCCAGGACAAGAACACTTGCAATTAAGCTGTAAGAAGAAAAAGGTTTTCCCATAGTTACTTTCTCCTAATAAATTAGCCCCACACTTTTCGGGCTTCCCCGGTTCACTGAGTTCGTATCAATCAAGAAACCTTACACTTTTCCACTGACACTCCGAAACCCTAATTCTAATCCATGCATACCGCAAACAACTCGGCTTTCTCCTAAATCAACTGGAACGCATTCGGAGTTGGAAGAAAAAAAAATCGTCAAAATTACAAAAATTGAAGTTTTACTCTTGAAATATCATATAATTTAGATTCACTTTCTGTGGATAATATGATTCATAAACGAACGTCCAAGCGTACGGAAATTTCAACAAAAAAAGAGGTTCACAAAATTGTACCAGTTAATTTTTTATGCTCTTACTTCCTTTTACAGCAAAGATGTTTCCTAGTTTCCTACACGGACTGTCACACAGATGTCGCCTGCATCACTGACCGAATATAAATTACTGTACAGTATTCCACTACACTTCAGCTAATTTTAGCTAAAATTGAGCCTGAATTGATCATTCACAAATAGCACGAGCAATTGCGCCCTAATTTTGCAATCAATGAATCATGAATTAGCGCAGCTTAAACTTTCTCGGACCCCAAGCAAATCCTGCTTGAAGTAAGTTTACAAAACCTAACTACATCTAAGTAATTTCAACAAAACATCAACGACATTTGCGTAGGGAGAGGATATTAAATGAAGAAAATAATTCAAGATACAAAACAAGATTTACAAACACAGAAACTTTAAAATGTTTTCAAAAAATGTAAATCGAGTTCGCGAAAAGTAACCCATCGAATGATGTCATTTTATGTAAGAAAACATAATTTACGACAAAATTAAATTTTGGCATTTTCGATTTGAAATTCACCAACGGTGTCAAAATGTCAGAAATCTATGACCTGAAGCCACGAGGCGACACTTCAAAGCCTTTTTTCGGATCAAGGACAAATTTTTAATGCAAAAACGGACAAGCTCTGCTCTGAAAAATGGAGCAAACATATAAAAACAAAATGTAGCAAAAATATTTTTTTTTAATGTTGCCAAAAAAAAATAATTCCCAGCCCACAATTTTTGCATAATAACCCCTTCAACTCTCTTCAACAAAATTCCACTCGTTCTGCAATACCCCATGTTTTTTGGGCATGAGGAGGAGAAAAAAACCCCTTCAAAATACCCAAAGGGAAACAAATTCAAGGTCTTACAGGGCATTGTTCATTTGCAAACGTAATCACAACGCCATGACGACGTCATAAAATCGCTCTTCCTTCATCTCCGCCCACTCGACCGCCGGAAACACGCAGAGTCCCAATTACCCAACTTACCGTAATTAAGACCTGGTCCCGTGCAGTGATAAAACCCAAATTACCCACCCAACTTCTCCGCCTTCCTATTTCATCTTTTCAATTCGCGGAAACAACGCCCAGGGCAAAATATTTCAGCTTAAACAAGCGGCATCAGGCAATATTGTCATTAAACTTGAAATAAAGGAAATACGGAGGGTTAATAAGTCAATGTACGAAAAAAATCAAATGGAAAAATATAAAAGACTCATATTTCGGATTTTCCATTATAAACATGATGACTGAACACGGAAAAAATCTCGATTACATATTAAATTCAAAAAGCAGGCCCAAAACTTAATTACGGCAGGATGCAAAATGTTTTCCCCAAGCAGTAAATACGATACAACTTACAAGTACTATATTTTTAATCTTCATAATTTGCAACTTGGTCATAATTCATGTTACAATAAAAAACTTGGCAGGTGTCACTTGCAAGGAAAATTCCAATATAATTCAATAAATTGCACGCACTTGAGTCTTGCTGCAATAACGAACCAGGAATATTTATTTTTTGAGGGAAGTTCTATAAAATTAATGTATAGAATTCATGAAATACTTGAAAAAAGTTTCCATTTTAGGGAATCGCTTCTAGACATCTATCGCTAAATCCGCCGCCACTGGGAACGTGTTTCTGTAGACCAAAATTTTAAGCACGCCAAAATACGGACATTTCCAGTGCACACAAAATGTTTACCAAAAATCTTCATATTTTATCCTGCACAGAAAATTCGAAAAAAGGAATGAAAGAAACGCCAAAACAAAACGCTCGCCCGGGATTGTCGGAAAATTGAACTCCAAGGCAGTTATTTTCCACCCACCGGAATTTTTCAATTGCTTCCTCGAACCATCAGTAATTACCCAGAAAACAAAATTAAATGAAAATCACGGGTTTCCTGCGAAAGACAACGATTCAAATGCGAAGCTGGAACCGCTTAGTTTCGAACGAAAACTAAACATAAATTTCAAAGAAAAAAAAAATCCTGCAACATGATTGGGATTTCGGGATGAAAATCAAATTCAAAAAACGCAGCAGCAGGTCATAGGATTGTACTCATATTTACTCAGGTCATTTGAAATCCGAAAGGAAGACGGCGACGTTTGGTGCAAAAAAAGCAGGTTACGAGCACCGACTTCTCCCTCACGTCTCCAGGGTTTTTTTTTTTTATGTCACGGCATTTCTGAACATCATTTTTACACATATTCTGTAACTTATCCATTATCAAGGTTTTCACTTCGATTCGAAAATAAAATTTTTCCCGTTCAGATTTTGCCTGATCTTCGTAATCTAATTCAAGAACGTTGGCAGCAATGGCAAAGCGGATGCGAGACAGAAGAAATTATTGAGAATCTAAAAATCCAAACTTGACATCCGAAAAAAGCATTTGATTTATCAAGGACCATTGCCAATATTCCCCTAAAAGGAGAATTCAAGCTTCATAATGAACAAGACAAGATGTATTTTACTAAATTTCAACAATAATCAGAAACTTTTCGGCATTTTTTAAAAAGGTAATCCGAAATTCATGTTGACCAGAACAGCCAAAACAAAAGTTAAAGTTGTAATTTGTCTCTTTTAAGTGTGTCATGAGCATAAGAACGAGACGGTTTCTGAACTTAGTGTGTTTTTATTACAATAATCTTCACATTGTTTCGTTAGTTTTCAGGTCGACCTAAAAATATTTTAATGAGCAATCCGCTAAAAAATCACAGTTGACTACTTGACTTTGAAAATATAATAAAACATAACTTGATAAACTTATTCAAATTTCATAATATAAAAAATTCCGTCATAAACTTTCATTCTAGAACTTGGTCCTTGAGAATGAAGTAGGTGACGGCCCCATCAATAACCCGATCAGAAATAATCACTTGGATGCGTATGACCTGAGAAAAATATACAGTACATACAAGGAAGCGACACCTAGTAGTTGATTAAACAAATTTCGGGTAAGACGGACACCGCGACTTATAATTATCCCCACATATTTCTATCTCGAATTATCAAACGGTCAGTGTTCACCAAGGAATTGAAAACTTTCAGATGAAGACAAGTTATTTCGCAGTTGGTCAAGTCAACCCGTGCCACAAAAAAAAAGAAATGTCATGCAAAAGTGATCGAAAATTTGAAAAGTGGAATCCAAAAAGAAAAAAAAAAAACAGCACACTCACCAGTTCCTTGCACAGAATAGGTCAACTTGTTCCCAGACGACCCAGGCCCAGCTCTGCCCCTCCTCAACAAAGACGACTCTTGACCCTCGGCATTCTTGGGCGTCATCGCCGGACTCGCCTGTTCACCCATGGGCCTGTACCTCGCGGATCGAACCCCCGTCGGTGTCGACGTGCCCGACGACGTCCCCGACGACGACACTGGACCCGAACCCGAATTACTCGTCATCGTCACTGTGGCAGGAGTGAGTCGCACTGCCGGTGTATTGGCAGGCACGGAAACACTGGCCGGCGACACTGAGGAAGAGGCGGTGTTTTTCGCAGACGCCGGCGACGCACTCATGAAACCAAAGACTGAGACTTTATCAGCGGGTTGATGAGTCGGAGTCGGACGTTGGCGGCTTTCGACGGCGACCGGCGACGCGGCGGATGTCCGGTGGCGGCTGATGAGTGCTGGCAGACGAGACGTGCTTTGCGGCGTCTATATAGAATGAACAGAGGGAGAAAAAGAGGAAAAAATAATCTCCACTCGTGCATCATATCGGAAATATGATTGGAATTCAGTGAATTGCACGAAAAACTTTAAAAAAATGCATTCATCTCTTTTTTTTTGAAATTTTTTCCATTGACTTGAAGACAGCTCTGTTGAATAGAATTTCCGTCGCTCAAGTGAGAACAATTTATTTTCACTCCAACGCCAGAATTTTTGATTCAGCAGGAGATAAATGAAGGATTTGTTCATAATATACTGTAACAGTACTTAATGAAGACTGAGTAAATGAACGCAATTTATCATACTCTTGGAATTTTTAACCTTGAAGAATATTTGACGAATAAGGTTGTTTCACTTTCAATTGTACAGATGAATGATGGATGGAATAATGGAGCACTTCCCAATCAATCACCAGGTTTAAGGAAGGACAAGAAAATGTTCATTCATCAGTTAAAAGGTGCTCACGGCAATTTTTCGATTGTTCGGGATTTATTCAAATTAAATTAAAGTATTTTCCATCTGGTGATACTTTCCGAATTTTAAAATTCAATATTCCAGTGACCTGATTAGTCTCCTCGTCGAATCTATATCCCATGATTGACATTAATAATCACGAAAAACTTCAATGGTTGCAAAAGCGAGAGAGAAACCACATCGGCACTCTCTTTATTTTTTCTCTCAATTGAAATAAAAAGTATACAGCTGCATAAATGAACACCATTATTTTATCCTGGACTGATCAGTTCGATTATTTTTCGATACCGTATACTTCAACAACTCATCTGCAGGAAGGAACGCTTCGGAATGATTTGAAAGTTTGAATTGCCATCACTTCATCGTGAAATGAGGTTTAACTTCGCAAAAAGGGAACAGATCGAACTCAGCATTTAATCTGATATTCATGAATATCATGAAATACGCGATCAATTACGGTAATGCGAGGCATCGTCGTGAGATTATGTAAAGTAGTCCATTTCCATCATCATCAGAATAAAACAAAAATGCAGTATTCTAAATCAAACCTTGCGAACAGGAGAGTCCAGTTCATCCCCAGATGCTGAGCCAGCAGCAGCTTCTTTTTCAGCCTTGACAACCAAAGCGTCCTGACTCTTGGACTTGAACCTTTTGGCTGCCCCGAGTCCGACCCTCCAACCAGTGCGACCTTTCTTCCGACCTTCGGTCAACCACGAAGGTTGATATCCAGACTTACTGTCAGCATCTTCGCTCAACTATAATTTTTTTTTTTCAAACAAAAGGAAACGAAATACATTAATGACAGCTTGCGTGATGACACTAATTCTCCTTACAACGCTTTGTTCTGCTTCCAAACTTGTTTCGCCATCGAAAAGAAGCACAGGGTATTCAAGAAACATTTTGCACAGTGTTTTATTTAAAGGAATACTGCAATAGGGTTTATTTTAAAACCTTTAAATGAAAAAGGAAAATTTCCGCTAAAACGGATGCTCAATTAAAAAAAAACTTTAAAACAGTTTTTCCTCTAATAATTTAATGGTTCATGTGACCATTTAAAAAGCTCGTCCCAGTAAAAAATCAATTCATTCGCAACAGCTATGTTTCAAACCAAAGTAATTTTTTTAAATATTCATACAAAATAAAATATACGAGCACAATGAAATATTGCACCTTTTGAACTACATAAAAATACTGTACGCATAATTCTTTTGACAACTTTCGGCAAGCTGTGAAATACGAGAAAAAAATAAAAATAAATTCGTGAAATAATAAAAAAACAACAACAAAAAACGGACCTTGAGAGAGTTGATGAGCGCCAGTTCTTCCTCGGGGTCGCCAACGTATCGCTCACGCGGCGGCGGCGCATCGGGGTCGTCAATCGGCCCAATAATGGCAGCCGCCTTCAACGACGCCAGCAGAGAGGCGTCCAAAATAATCGGCTTCTCCACGATCGTCACTTCAGACCCAGTGCCAGACGACGATGACAACGAAGGCGCCGCAGAAACACCGGCGCCTTCACTCGCACTCTCACCCCCACCACCGACCACGGGTGTCACAACAGCCGCGGCGGCGCCAGCAGCAGCAGCCGCCGCGGGTTTAGTCGTCGCCTCAACAGCCACAGCCACAACGGCGTCCGCAGAAGATGGAATCGGTGTCTTGAGCGTGGAATGCGGGGACGCCTTCGGGGTGCCATTGGGAGAAAATGACGAGTAGAACATGGACGAGGACGGAGTGTTGAGAGCTGTTTTGAGAGTGGAACACGGGGACGCCTTGGGTGTGACGCCATCTTCGTCGTCGGATTGAGAGTCGACGGCGTTGGTTTTGATGGACGCCGGCACGGGCTTCGGGGACGACGTGACGAGCTGGTTGGACGCCCAAAAGTCCTCACTGTGCTCGCTGCCCGTTTCCGACACCTCGTGCATCAGGGCGACTAGTCTAAAAACACAACAAAGAAGAGAGAAGCGAGGCATAAATTATTCGTAAACCAAATTCATAAGATAAAAAAGAGAAAAAATTAAAATTATTACTCGGCATAAAAAATTAATAATCGCTTTACAGGTGGACTATCTAATCTTTTTTTTACGAATTTTTTGTGGGTCCCATAGGGTTCTCTCCTCATGTTATGGAGTTTCTTTAGACTAAAGCTAAAAGACTAGTCCAAAATTAAAAAAAAAGAGAGGACGAACCATAAATCATTTGTAAACCAAATTCAGCCAAAAATAAATAAATGCACATAATTACTCGTTATAAAATACAGTAATCAATAATCGCTACACAGGTGGAATGTCTACAACGATCTTGTCTAAAATGTTTTTTTTTATGAATACTTTTTTGTCCCATAGGGTTCTCTACAACAAACTAAACTAAAACTACGACGACTAGTCAAAGATTAAAAAAAAGAGAAGAATAACCATTAATTATTTGTATAAAAAATTCATCAGTCAAAAAGAAATAAATAAAAATTATTACTCGCTACAGAACAATCGATCATCGTTTTTCAGTTGACTTTATTTACAACGATCTTGTTAAAAACAATTTTCTTTGAGTAACGACTTTTCGGTTGGTCCCATATGGTTCTCTACACAATACATGTTTTACTCCCAAAGATGTAATTTTAAGAGAGTTCTTGCTTGAAAAGAACCAGGCAACTTAAAGCAACATAACTCAGGTGTGGACGTATTATTAGAGATCTTTTTAATCGTAGGATTCGAATAGGCTTTTTTTAAATCGCTAGAAAAAATGCGTATCTATGAAAAATCATTCAAAAAATACACCTTCCTTTCTGACCGGAGTTCTCCAGAGGATAAATTACGCACAAAATCCCACTAGGCTATAAATTGCAACACAGCTGGAACACTCATTTGACTTCTCGCCATTTTTTTTCAAGAAGTTTTAAATCACACTCGGAAGAAAAAGGTGAGCAAGCTCATTCGTCTTCGTGTTTTATTGAAGTTCGTTACTTGAAACAAAAAGAAAAAAAAAACATTTGAATTTCCATTTATGCTGCAGAATGAAGAAGGAAATTACCATAAAATACCCCACTCGGCTATAAATTACAAAACAGCTGGAACTCATCATCGGACTTCGCCCAACTATTTTTCAAATGTGCCATTCTACGAGAAGTTGTACACAAAATTACCTGGAAAAAGGTAAAACTGTAATATCCTTTAGACTTGAATCTCTTCAAGGTAAACAGATTTCCATGAACTACTTGAAATAAACCCGGAACAATCATTCGATACCATTCTTGAAGAAGTTTCAAACCCAACCCAAAAGAACCACAGCTATACAAAGATAAATTGAATCACGGCCTTCGTCTCGGTGCTTCAATCGAAGAATAATCATTAGTGAACTTTCTTTTGCAGGTGATGAAAGTAGGACCTTCCTTTTAGCGGTGTTGTGTTTTATAGGTCGATCTGCTATTAAATGCCTTTAATGCTCCGCTACGTTGATCTGCTCTTTAGTACCTCTCCTAAAAAGCCTTCGCAATAAGCAAGAGACTCGGGAACACATCCGAACAGACGCACGAGTGACTGAACCTCATCCCGAGCGCGTATTAGAAAATTATACACGGGCACGGACACTTTAGCGGGCGCGGATGCGCAACGAGCCGGAACCCAGGAGCGCAACCTGAACTACCGCATGCCCTCGGGCCTGGGAACACAACACCGACATTCCCCCCCGGCGGGGAGGCCCCATCCCCGTCCCGTCTTGGGTAATGGAAAAAGGCGCCGGAATCCCGGGTTCGACGGACAAGGCCTCGCTCATGGTTTTAAAGGGCCCCCGGTGTAGCAGGGGAAATTTAAAGGGCAAGAGAAACAAGGTTGAAAACGAAATTACCGATCGATTCATTTATCGTAAAAATTTCGGCAAATGATTTTCATTTGAGGCAAAAAAATTTCAAAACTGATCCCAAATTAATCAAGATTGTCAATTGAGGAGACTTAAACACTCGCTCATGGTTTGAAAGGGCCCCCGGTGTAGCAGGGGAAATTTAAAGAGCACGAGAAACAAAGTTGAACCCGAAATTACCAATCGATCCATTTTACGTAAAAATTTCGGCAAATGATTTTCATTTGAAGCAAAACATTTTCAAAACTGATCCCAAATTAATCAAGATTGTCAATTGAGGAGATTTAAACATTCGCTCATGGTTTTAAAGGGCCCCCGGTGTAGCAGGGAAATTTAAAGAGCACGAGAAACAAAGTTGAACCCGAAATTACCAATCGATTCATTTAACGTAAAAATGTCGGCAAGTAATCTTCGAAATTTGCATTTGAGGCAAGATATTTTCAAAACTGATCCCAAATTAATCAAGATTGCCAATTGAGAAGAATTCAACACACTGGAAGTGTGGGTTGATTTTTTTTGGCAGACACAATGCTTTCCTTTGAGTGATATTTCGCATAAAATACAAGACAATCTTTGGCAAGTCAGAAAAAAAACAGGAATCGACGCACATACTCTTTGGCAGAGAAAAAAGTTGACCTCAGCTCACAGGTGATCATATAGCACATGTAAGGGATTATTTATTTGACTATTGTGTAATTTCAATGAAATACATAATCAAAAACCTTGCGCAACGCTAAAATAACTACCTTTTTCTAAACGGAAAACTGTCATTTTTTGCAATGAACACACTATCTTTTCAACAGGTATTATTCCAATCCAACGGACAATGTCTCACTGATTTTTGACATTAAGGGGAGAGGATTTCCAATTCCTTTTTCGCTTATCTCGGTTTTCAAATATCAAACGTTCGAAATTTCATGAAACGATTTTTTTGGCAAGCCGAGAGGAAAAAAAAACGCTACTACTGTCACAGATGGTTTCTTTCCTGCATCAACAATGAGTTCAACATGTAAAGCGATATCTGCATACAACGGCATTTTTTTGTCTCAGGAAAATCTACCTTGAAAAAAATTGCATTGCAGCAGGTGTTTCATTAGAAAAACATCACATTTAATTTTACAATCTTCTGGTGATCCATGAAGTACGGTATTCTCTTGCTTACATTCTTGTAAACCAAGGGTCGGAAATCTTTGAAATATACAAAATTTCAATATGTTCTCTTTTGGGGGAGTGAAAAAAGGAACTGGAAGTTAATTATAAAAACAGTAATATTTTCAATAAAATACAAGAAAATTACTCATGGCTTGAATAAACCCAATACTCGTATTGGGATACAGACAGTTCCTTTAAAAAATGATATTTAAGGTAAAACGAATTATTTAATCCTTTAGAGTAATTTTTTTTAAGTTAGTCAACCTGCGTCGAAATCATTTGCGAAGTGAAAGTCTCGGCAATTATTTTCGTGGGTCTAATTGAAAATCTTCGATCTTAACTGGAATACATAAGAGGCAACAAACGAACTCGGCACATAAAATTTGAAATTTACAAAATTGAAAAAAAAAAACGTGGCAATTTTGCGTGTGGTAAGCATTTGAACCACTACACCGCTCTCAATATGCTTCTTTCTCCAAGTGCAGGGATTCTTTAAAATGGAACATACCAGTGGATTGCACAAGCAGACGCTTCTCTCGAAATAATTTTCGGTTCTTCAACGTAAAAGGCTAATATTTCAAAATTGAATGGCGAATGAATAACGTTAGCTTCGAATAGTATTTCCTGCGGGGTATCTCATCTTTATTTATTTTTGAACAACCGCGAGTGAAGCATTTAAAAATGTATGATCGCGACTCACGAGTTTCGGTAATTCCAGATAATCCACTCCATGATACAATTCCAACAGGGAAAATCATATCTTCAAGCAAAGTCTTTTCAACTTTCTATGAGAAAAACTAAAATCGGGGAAAATCCTTCTCATGTACTTTCACAACGCTGCGATTATTTTATCAACTGATTTTTTTTTGCAAAACGAAAGTTAAATTCATCTGCAAGCCATTTCGACGCGCCAGGATAATGAACTCGAATATATCCAGAAATCATTGCAATGAAATGTGCGAAAAAGCAGGGCATTTCCTTCCCTTTGCATAATTTATTTTTCTGTTACCGATTTTCTGGCCATCTGTAAATGGATTTTCCCACAAGAACTCTCAAGACCATTGAGCCGCGTTTAACGAGCTAATTTCTTCCAAGCAATGAGAATCACATTTTCAAGTTTTTACCTGAGAAAAAAATTGCTTTTTCCAGAATTTCTCGCGCACGAATTCCGTTTACAGTGGGAAAGCGTATGCTTGCTCAAGGATTGTTAACCTCGCACAAATACTTCCCGAAGGTTGTTCACTTTGAACTGTTCAGATGAATGATGGATGGAATAATGGAGCACTTCCTAATCAATCACAAAGTTTAATGAAGGACAAGAAAATGTCCATTTATAAGTTTAAAGGCGCTCGTCGCAATTTTCCATGGTTTGGAATTTTATTCGTATTAAATTAAAATACAGTACAGTATTTTCGATCTATTGATGGTTTTCGATTTTTCACTTTTACATCTCAGGGACCTGAGAGTATTCCCGCCGACAAATGGGAACGAACCTATTTTTGAAGATTGACATTAATTATCAAGAAATCAACAAATGTTGCAAAAAGCGACAGAGGAACAAAATTTGTATTTTCTTCATTTTTCCCCCTCAAATGAAATAATATTTATCCAGTTGCACGAGCAGAGGAACGGCATTTCCTCAAACTTCCAGTTGATTGATTTTATTCACGTGCATTCGCCAAAATTTGAATTTGTGATAGATGAATAAATAAACGATTCTCGACGACGAGAAAAACTACAGCGAAAGTTCAATGAATTTCCATCAACGCATTCGTGCCAAAAATTTAAAAAAAAATGCATCAAGGAAATATTGGTCAGCTCTTGTGCAACAACAGAGTTAGATTGAAGAACAATTCCTCGGTTGATTAACTTTCGTTTTGTCTTTCATCAGGTTATAATTATAAAGCAGGTGAACACAAGAACCAATATACTGTAGCATAAAACGTGGAGAACTTTTTCCGTTTTATTTCAACAAAGAAATTTGCTCATTCCCTTTCATTTGAAAATACGCTGGTTGGGCTTGAAAAGTGCTTCAGGATTTCTCTTGATTTCCCTGTTTGTCATGCTCGAATTAATTTTCTGGTTTCAATGTGTTTTAGAGATCTTAACATGGACTTTTCGGGGACCAAAAAAAAGGGGGGGTTGGGAAGACTTATACTTTTTTTTTTTAAACACAAATCAGCAGCAAAGCAACAATTGAAAAATGAATGTTTCTCACCTCGTGCCAATGTGTTGCATGACGCGCGCAAACATCGGCGGAGAATGATCGCCGCCAGAGGCGCCGCCTGGCGACGGCGGGACAAAGTCCGCCGCAGTTGTCGCCAGTGTCGACGTCGACAACGTCGTCGTGGGTGACGGCGGTGAATTGTGCGGCTTCCCGACAGCCCCGTCGAACTGCTCGATGATCTCCTGACAACTGGCTGAAATCTGGTGTTGCAAATCTTCGGGACGCTCTGCAACTGCGACACTCGCGCAAGCCCCTTCCAGGTCGGAACTGGTGTAATCCGACGAGTCGTAGGAATCGCTCCACGTGTCCTCGCTGCTCAGGTATTCCACAATTTCCTTCACCTGGTTTGAAAAAAAAAAAAAAAATACGTGGAGACTCGAATTTTCAAAATTGATACAATAAATGACACCCGAAGAAGTTTCAAGCTTTGCATCAATCATCGAAATATACAACGCAAAAAAAAAGGAACACTGGAAAAATATCCAAGTTCCAGATTATCCTCAGCTGAAATCACGAAGGATTTTCCCGCTTTCGCGTCGACGGACGTCCAGCGAATTTTAAACTTTCCCGGAACTTAGGCCGAAACAAACAATAAATCCCAGAGACTTCGAAATTATTCAAAGCCGGACTTTCTCGGAACACCTGCTTTATATATTGATAAAATATTGTTATGCTCCTAATCCAAACATTTCTGAAAAAATGAAGATTCTCAGATCCAATAATTTTTTCATTATTCGAAACTTCGGCGGGTCGACATAACCACACAAGTTTGACGAAATAATAAAACTTAATTTTCTGCTGGGGAAATCAAATTTCAAGCTCGGCAAGTTCAAAACTGAAACTTATATTGTAATTGAAAAACACAAAATTGAAAATATCATAAGAAAGTTCGACCACCACTTCTTACGTTTTACGAGAGGAAATGACGGAACAGAAGACAAAAACTACAGGGAGAACAGGACGGAATTAAACCAATTAAAAACAGAAAAATCTGGACGAATCAAATGAATAGAAATCTCGTTATAACGAATAATTGCTTACAACGAATTTTGTTATCTTCTCGTTCCTTGCTCAAACGCCACAATATTATTTCAATTGTAACTCGACTCTATTTTTAACTAGTATTGCTGCTCACAAAATGGGCTGACTCAATTTCTTGTCATATTTAAAAAAAATAAGAATAAATTGAAATGCATGCCAACCTGTTCATCATTGATCCCAGGCACGGTCTTCATCAAACTCGTCAGCCTATGCTCAAAATTCACCAGCTGCGGAGGCTTAACTTTCGGTACGCCCCTCGCCGACGCGTCTTTGTTCGCAGAGCTGATCATGTTCTTGAAAAAGGCTCGCATCCGAGACATCATCAAGTTGGTCTCCTCATCCGAGCTCCAGTTGTTGAAGCTGTCCTTTCTCGACACCGCCGACGACGACGAAGACGACGACGCCGCCGCCGTCTTTTGCTCACTGTCGACAACGTCAGGGACGTCACTCGACGACGTCGACGCCGATGATTTGTTGGAGGAATGACTGTCGTCGGATGCAGCCGGGGAAGCAGAGTTTGATCGAGACGCGCGAATGGCGAGAAGGTCGTCAGAGCTGCCGATGAACCCGCTGTCGCGATGCTTTTTCGAAGACGACGTCGACGACGAGGAAGACGTCGGTTTTGTGGCGATGTCGTCAGTGTCGAGTTTGTGAGCGCAGTCCTTGGGGGAATCCGTCGCCAATTCCACAGAGGCGACTACTTCCAATTCCCCGCCGGAATGACGCTTCCGCTCCGTCTCCAAAAACGTCGCCTACGCGGAAGTAAATAATCGATTTTCCGAAAAAAAATTGCACGTCAATAACAGTACAAAAAAAACTGGACATGTGTTTTCAAAATACGATGAAACGATTGCTTTCGTGCATTGTCAATACCAACCAAAATTTAAAAGTCCGGACAAAATTGAGGAACACGAAGCACATAATATAAATTACTGATCGTCTTCCTCAATTCAAAGAGCGTAAGTGACGCATATAAAAATAATTCGGGAACGTAAGGCGGAAATCATTGCCAGGATAATTTTTACTCGGGCCACTTCCTTCCCTTTTCAATCGACCTTAATTTTCGAAAGAAATCGTGTGAAAATCAATCCCATCATGTCAAGCATCAATCAGAAAAAAAAAACAACACAAAATCGTAAAATTACGGTCTCACGAGAATTATACTTGAAAACTTTTTTCTTCGCAGAAAGGATCATGAAGGCGGTCGGGAAATATATTGCTCTTCGAGCCTTGCCAGAATGTCGTTACTACAAGGCGCCAGGTTATCGTTAAATAAATTATCATCATCCTTGAAAAGATTTTAATCTTTTTCCATCATCAGTCACATTTGATTACCCGGGCGAAGGCTTCCAAGCAATCGTCCGTTGTCCATTTATTATAAAAAATGCATCAAGGTACGCGAGTATCAAGGAAAAAAATCCTTATTTTGCGAAACGACGGGGTTTTCTGAACATAAATGAAATTTTTGTGACAATTTCACAGGGAAAAATTAATTGTAACCTTCGAGTGCCGGTGAATCCATTTCCCCTGTTTGTTTGGATGGGGAAGATTTCAATTCTTGCCAGATTATTTCAAATGACTGAAACATGATTTCGACAAGCTATCAAGTGTGAAAAACATATTCCTTTAAAAATAAAAAGCTTCCCTGATGCCGTAAATACATCAGAAATTCTTTCCTTGTGAAATTGAAAGTGAAATTTCCCCCTAAAGTGTCATTTGTTGAGCAAGAACTTGTTCAAGTCACATTTAAAAATATAGAAAACTCTTAACCATTACACAGAGACGAGGAAATTTGAAGAACACATAATATTGGTGGACTCTCTAGAAAACAAAATTCAGGGGACCAAAAATATCCTCGAAGAAAGAATTTCTTGAGAACAGAGAACCCCTATTTCATGGGTAGAGATCCCCATAAGATTTTTAAAAAATTAATAAATTTCGTCACGCAGAAAAAAAAAACGTTGAGGACAAAATCGTCGAAGAAAGAGAGCACATTTGTACAGTTCCTTCATGGCAGCGACCAAATACATTTTTAAAATTTTCAAAACAATTCCTCGAAAACAGAAAAAAAAACAAGACGAACCTGTTTTACAGAGCGAATCTCCGAGTCGCTCGAAAAGTCCAGCAGAACCTTCTTCTTCTTGCGTCGTTTGATGGTGTCAAACTGACCGTCGTTCTTGTCGAAAACAATTTCCTCTTCCGAGGAGGAACCCTTGTTTCGGGCACTGGTGGGCAGGATGCTGGCGGCAACGGGCGCCGGAGCGTCGTCCCCGTAGCTATTGCTGCTACTGCCGCCACTGGACCCGGGCCCAGACGTAGGGCCGCCCAATGACGGTGGGCAGGATTCGGAGGACGCCGGACGCGGCAGGTGGCCGTCGGTGGGCGGCAAACCTGGACAAGCGTCCAAATCGTGCTCTTGCTCGTCGTTTGAACACGATCTGTTTTCGAAAGATAAAAGACAAAACAAAACCATTCGTTCAATCGGATTTTCCTAGTAAAAATGAACGATTTTCAGCAAGAAATTGTATGAAGAATCCTGCTTTCTCAGACCCGCTTTGAAAATTTGGAAGAGCTCGTAGTGAATTAATGGTGAGGATTACCGAGGTAAAAAAAAAGTGAATGGGTTGATCCATACTTTAGCTGAATTTTCGTTCAAAGTTCGGAGACTTTTCAACAGCCCAACAGTGAAACGTGACTGAAATTTCATCCTAGAAAATATTTTCGTCTCACGTGAAATTTATTGGAAAATTTTGCAGAAGAAAGTTACGAAATAGCCGACCCTGAAAATGACAAAATGCAACACGCCGTCAATGACTTTCCAAGCCTTTTAAAACGAGGTGCGGCGAATTCTTTAACCTTTTGTATCTTCAACGCCAACTCGTCTGTCATTAGAAACACGCGGAATTGATTAATTTCTCGGACTCGCCATTTTTATCAATTCTTATCCTTTCGAAATCATCGAATAAGTAGGATAAGAAAGTTGTGTTTCACCGATAGCAGCGAAATTTAACGCGATCACCTGGTGCCGAATATTTCCAATTCAACAATCATTTCTCTGAAATTTCCGTTAACCATGCAGACACTCAATATGCGGCACATAAATCAGACGGATTGGCAGAAAATGCGGTTTAGAAACCACAGGTTGAAGAACCAAGCACATAAAACACACAGCCGAAGGAAATTGACTTCTTGGTAAAAAAAAAACAGACACTCAATATGCGGCACATAAATCAGACGGATTGGCAGAAAATGCGGTTTAGAAACCACAGGTTGAAGAACCAAGCACATAAAACACACAGCCGAAGGAAATTGACTTCTTGGTAAAAAAAAATCATAAAAACGCTCAAAAATTTACCCCGCAAACCACCTTTCATATGCGCTTCAAATCTTGCGAAAGATAGCACCAGAAAAATCATTTTGAACATCAACTTAACATGAACTTCCTCGAGCGTCTGAATCCTCAAAAATCACTTCGATTTCCCCCTGACATAACTTGAATTGAGCAATAAATATAAACCTTTCTTGATTTATTTTCCTACAGAAACCCGCCGACCATAGAAATATGCTAGACTTCTAGTGACATCTACCCTCACTGACATGATTAGTAATTTCTCAATAATCAAGGAATAAAATTTACGGGAAGTGAAGTGTCAACATAGTAACTTACGTGACACCTTATGAGACTTCAGAAAAAAGCATTAAAAAAACGAAGAAGAACAGACACTCAATATGCGGCACATAAATCAGACGGATTGGCAGAAAATGCGGTTTAGAAACCACAGGTTGAAGAACCAAGCACATAAAACACACAGCCGAAGGAAATTGACTTCTTGGTAAAAAAAAAAATCATAAAAACGCTCAAAAATTTACCCCGCACACCACCTTTTATGTGCGCTTCAAATCTTGCGACAAATAGCACAAAAAAATCATTTTGAAAATCAACTCAACATGAACTTCCTCGGGCTTCTGAATTCTCAAAAATCACTTTGATTTCCCCCTGACATAACTTGAATTAAGCAATAAATATAAATCTTTCTTGATTTATTTTCCTACAGAAACCCGCCGACCATAGAAATATGCTAGACTTCTAGTGACATCTACCTTCACTGACATGATTAGTAATTTCTCAATAATCAAGGAATAAAATTTACGGGAAGTGAAGTGTCAACATAGTAACTTACGTGACACCTTATGAGACTTCAGAAAAAAGCATTAAAAAAACGAAGAAGAATACGTACAGTTCCAAGCTTTACAATTAATAATGATAAAATAAAATAAAAAAGCCGTGACACAGCGTTGGAAAAAATGAAAGTAAACGGACGAGTCACCTGAGAAGGTTTTCCTGAGAGCCCCGGCGGTGGTTCCGGGGTTTCATCACCTTCTTCCGCTTCCTCTCGGGGCTCGGCTGTCCGTCGCTTTCGCTCCCGACGGAATCACTTCCGTCGCCGTCGTTGGAGCTCGGCGCTGACTCTTCGTCATCTCTGTCGTCGTCGACATTTCCCTCGATTTTTACATCCTCACCGGCGCCCGACAGCCTGGCCCCGTTCTTTAAGTTCGCTCGGTGAGGATCTACCCCTGGAACAACAACAAAATCAAACAAACAAATTAATTAATTAATTAATCAAATAACAAAATTGTGCAGAACTTCAAACGCAAAAAAAAAGTTTTCACGACTCTCTATGGACTCAATTTGTCTCATTAAATGCTTCGTACCATTGGAGAGACGAAGTTCGTTTTCAAATTTTTCGTCATCCTCAAATAACAAATTTTCGAAGAACGATTTTTGATTAAAAACGAGCGAAATACGACGAGATCGTACTAAAGAGAAATAATTGATTCTAGTTCAGAGACGAATTTTTTTCTCAAAATTTTCGGTCATCTTCGGGTAACAAAATTTATACGAAACATTTTGCTTTGAAAAGCAGCGAAATTCAAGGATGACAAAGAGGAACCTTCTTCATTCTCACGTGAAATGATTATTTTAAATCGCAAATAAATATTGAAGGTCTGTAAAATGACAGCTGAAAAATATTACCTTGAAAATAACATCCAATGGTTACAACGAAATACGGTGAATTCCAAGGTTGAATAAGCAATAACCGGAAAAAATTCACTTTGTCACTTGAGGACACACACGGAAACATGGAGAAAATTGTCAAAATGAAAATCTGAGACTGCTCAAAGAGTTCAGAAATTCGGAAACTTATGCTATCTCGAGCTGAAGAAGCAAAATTATTCGTCAACTATGACTATATAAACGATTCTTTTCGCCACTATAGACGAAAAAGTGTCCTCCCATTCAAATTTTAGCAATAATAATGTATTTTTACATTGACTCAGGTTCAATCCTTGAAAACGGGAGCTAATGCAATCACGAAAACATCAGTAGCCGGGAAACCGGTGCCCAAAGAGAAAAACCTGATCAATCAAACTGGACAACACGAAAAATATGTACAAATATAAAAAATGATGCAAGGTCTCTCATCTGTGGATGACCCAACGCGAAAAATACCTCCGTCACGATTCCGGCCAGACCTGACGCAACCCATCGATCGCATAATTGCCTACAAGAGGGCCCAAAATAACGCAATGCTTCACCCGATCTTTCTTTTTCATTTTTCTATAAGCCGCCCACGTGAAATAATAGACGTCCATCATCATTCCTTCTGCCATTTTTTTTGCAAAATAAAAAAGCATCGGGAGTGGGTTTCCAAGAGGACAAAACTGGGCCTTTCCAGCTCACAGGCTGTTGCACTAGGTAAACTCATGACTGTAACAGATTTGTAAAAAGAGGACGAAGTTTTTAACCACAGTTTTAATAGAGTTGGCTTTGGTACGTTTTTTAGCCAACTTGCGATTGGATCAAACAAAAAATTCAGTTTACGACAGTTGAGAAGACTGCAAACGTGACAAACTACCAGCAAGAATTCATTCATCGAACGTTGAATCAAACAACACTTGAATAATCCATGACCAGGCAGAAATGAAAAAAATATTGCACGGGATTTCGCATCGTTGTCAACTGGCGAAGGAATGGCATTTGAGCAGATATTTTGCAACTGGACTTGCAATGATTAAAATCAAATTCCGAATAGTCACGAATATCTTACACATTTCTACTTACATCAGAGGTTCACATTATTAGACTTGAAGTGCGATAATTCGCAAAGTAACTGCCAATAATTTCGTTACAAGAAATACTCCTGCACAACGGAGTCATTTTTCAGGCACCAGCTCAGTAATTATATCATCTAATAAATTATTTTACTGTACTCGTTTAAAAACCAGTGTCGCTACGGTAAAGTGACCAGGGTTACCGAAGCAACATTGCTATAAAATGATATAAGGTGTACGTCGTTCCGCTATGTTAAAATAAAAAAGAGCTTACGCTTTTTCATTGGAATCACCAGCAAATAATTCGACGATCGATCAAATTCGAGGAATCGACGAAATTTTCAGCTGCGATGAAAAAATTAATTTCACCCAGCAATCAGCCAAATATTTGGACCAATCAGAACCCCTTGAATTAATCGTACCACATCGAAACTTACGAAATCCATGCATTCATGTTGAGTCAACTGACCTCAGAATGACTCTAAGCTTCAGTCTGAGACTTGAGTTTCAGTGAATTCGAAAACAGGTTCAGAGCTGACTTAGTCCCTGACCATAATCCAACCAACTAACTCGTCACTGAATAATACAGTACTCGTGAACACAAATTTTTACACACCTGCCAAGACCAATAAACATAAACACAGCCTGCGTTTCGTTTCCGGTCAATACTTTCTCAGATAACGAGCGAGAATAATGACTAAATCACGAATTTCCCACATGCCACGTGGGCGTGAGAGAAACGACGAGGGGGGGAGAAATGCATGGCGTGCAGGACCGGGACAGGCGTGAATGTCGAACACTAAAACTGACACGCAATTATGCGCCATTTCGTGATGGCGGTGCAAGTTTTTTTTTTTTTTTCACAGCCCCGGGATATTATCGCATTGCCTAAACGGAATGCCCTTTGCTTTGCTTAACGCCGCTTCCGTCTACGTCACCGCCAACGGTGTCAGGCGCTCTTTGCCGCTTTACTGACTAGTAGAGCGCATAAAAAGAGGACCTGTCTGAAAAAATTTGGAAGTAACCTTTTTTTTTTTAGAACGATACACACCTAAACGGTAACGAATTTCCGGAATTTAAATATTGAAAAACTCTTGCGATTTGAGACGAATAAGCGCCTAGGGGTCAATCGAAAGAAATAAAGAGCTGGAAAACTTGTAAAAATTATTTCGGAGGATTATTCAAGATATATAACCTTCATTGGAAATTTTTTTTAGAACGATACACATCTAAACGTTAATGAATTTCCGGAATTAAAATATTGAAAAACTCTTGCGATTTGAGACGAATAAGCGCCTAGGGTTGTCAATCGAAAGAAATAAAGCGCTGGAAAACTTGTAAAAATTATTTCGGAGGATTATCCAAGATATTAAACCTTCATTGGAATTTTTTTCAGAAAGATACACACCTAAACGGTGACGAATTTCCGGAATTTAAATATTGAAAAACTCTTGCGATTTGAGACGAATAAGCGCATAGGGTTGGACAATCGAAAGAAATAAAAAGCTGGGAAAATTGTAAAAAATTATTTCGGAGGATTATCCAAGATATGCCATGCAGTAGCAAATGATTAATCCTGGCGCACTTTTTTTCATGTCGGATTTCTTTACAAATTACAACGATGAACAATTCCCAGAGTTAGAAAGACGAATATGCTTGCCGAACAGATTGAATCGAGCCTTATACTCAACGGAGCTTAAGAAGCAATCACAAATCGCCCCGAAAAATTGCAAAAAAAAAGTGAAGAAACATTTCAAATTTTTTGAAGTTGTAAGAAGTTCGATTTATTACGTTGATCATAACATAAATGAAGCACAGTAAATTTAAACAAATTGGATCCTGCTTCAATCATCTCTAAACCAGGAAAAAATATCAGATTTTAAAAATCTTAACATAATATCTCATAAAAATTCATAATTATGTCCAGTTTGATGGACTTTAATTTAATAATACTACACCACCACCTTTACCTGTTCCAGTTATACACATTGCAGGTAGATTTTAATTAATTCTCATTATTCATTTACTATTTCATTAATTCATTCTCGGACTATTCCCATCATTAACGGATGAGAAATAAAAAAAGAGTAAAATAAAACTTTTCAATTAAAATTCATCAACTCAATTTCAGCTGATGGAGGCTTTTCACACCCGTGCTCCACTGACAAGAGGAAACCAAATAATGACGTAATTTTCTATTGAAGAGGTGAATTTAAATTCGTACGACAAAACTTTTTGGGGTCGTTTTTAAAAAAATTGAAAGATTCGATTCCTTTGAATGCATCTCAAGAAGAAAATAAACAACAAACTTGAGACATGAATGAGGGGCTCAATGAAGCCCCTGGTGTTTTAGAAACGCTTCAAGAACCGGGACAAAAGCAGACGTCGTTCCGCCGCGACGAATAAACTCCGTCAGACACAACTAATTACCTCCTCAATCCGAATGAATCATGACTTCCAACAAAATCCAACACACAAAAAAAAAAAACATGTGACGGACACTGAGGAACACCTGGTTGATTCTTCAAATCCCCCTTCCTCGCAGACACGTTCAAAATTAACTCCATTATCAACCCGTGTCTCATGCGGTCATCATCAATTTCATCACCTGGGACGTCTGACGTGGAAACAAAACCGCATTCCCTCAAGGGGATTCGTTTTGACAATGACGTTTTCAGTAGCGAAAAAAAAACCGGAGACCTCAATGAGATGGCCTAAAAATTCAGCAGGTTATGGGAACTGAATCAGATCTCAAACACCTGACGATAAAACATTACTCAAGATTGTCCTATAATTGAAGGAACAGTGCTGGCTAAAATTTTCCGGTCTTTAAAACTTGGAAAGTCTTTCGGAGCGGAATAATTGATCCCGGAAGGGATAAAATGAACCATTTATGTTCGTTAATGTCCCCCTGAGAGATTTTGCTTCAACAACAAATAGGATGTCCAAAGAAAAAAAAATAATGTCCTTAAGAGATTTTCATTTAAGAGACGTTTTGCTCAAAAAAGACCAGAAAACTTTTTCGTCAGGAAAAATTTATTCATTCTTCGACCGAGATTTTCTGAACATCGATCTAAAAAATTAAAACTTCCAGCGAATAAAAAATATAAAAACACGCAGCCGAAAATTAATATCTCGTATTTTCAGGCGCGGACAAATCCTCTAATTTTTCTTTCTAAAATAAACGTTATGGTTTTATATTTTCCAAACCACTCAAACGGGATTGGGATTACAACTTGAACAAATTCCAAATCCAAGAAAAAATACGTAGCTTTCCCCCGCCTATCTGTTCACTCTAAAAGGTTTTAGTTGCCGAGTGAAAGTCGTTTTGTGACTGGGGTTAGCTATGCCTCACTTTAAGTCCGAGCTAAACTCGTTTCACGCCTCTTTTAGCCGCCTACGACACCGGAGCTTTTAGTACCTCGGATGGACTTAATTGACGACTAACGACCATCTTCGTCTGAGCCTGAATTAAAAAAAATATATGCTACTCAAGGGTCTGTTCAAAAGTTTCCTCACTCTTCTGCTTTCTTTATTTTTTAAACGTGAAAGTATTTTTCGCGAAGAAATAAACCATACTCTCTTGGCTACAGATAGGATTTCTACTGTGTCAAGAACGAATACAGAAAATAAAAAACGAGGTTGGATACGTGTCAACACAATTCATGCTGCTGAACACTTCGAAATATATTGAAATCTCTACGGCAATGACATATACTGTACCTAAAAAAAATCAGGTTCATTTTTAAATTTTCTGATCAATGTTATACAGTACTTGAATTTCAATTTGTTAGCACAGAAAAACGGCAATGCTATGGAATAGAAATTCTCCGAAATTCTTTCAAGACGTCGTTATGAGTCTCCCAGTAATTCGGTGTACATCTACTTCTCAGGAACTTAGGCAACCAAAGAATACGATTTCAAGGAGTTGAATAAATTTTTTAATCGCCCCTTGTCAATAAATTCAACAGTAAAAAAAAAAAAAAAAAAAAAAATGAAAGAGTCCGGTACGCAACCAACCGGCACAGCAACACGCACCAAGGCTTCGATTCCCTCGTTCAAGATGATTTTACCCCAAAAAAACAAAATTTTTCCCCGTCTCATACAAATAAAGAAGAAAAAAACTAAAAATAAATACAGAGCTAAGAAAAATGGATTCCGAACTGAAGAAGGAGTCGACCTAAATCTGCCCACGATCTACAAATATTTCATTGGCTTCAACGGAATATTCCTAATATTCCCCTGCTCCGAAATTTTGATGTCCGGCTTTCACTTTCCCGCGAGGGAAAATTTCACCGGTTTCCTTTCGGATCTTCCTCATCAAAAAAGTCGATTCCCAATTTTACAAAATTTCGGAATGAAAGTTAATCTGCATATTAACCGATTTCGAGAGCATGCATTGAAGCCGCTACCTTTTAAGCTTGTGGATGCATCA